CCACCCCCCACCCAGCAAAAAATAACAATCTAAATTTCTATTCGATCCGTGCCCTGACTTTGATCAGCCCGAAGGCAGGGCCGGATTTAGGGGTCGGCCCACGGGGACGCGGTTCCCCTTTTTAAGTGATGTATTTTCTTTAGACGTAACTTAACTGTCCTTAGGAAGACTTTTCCCGCTCCACCCTTTCTTCCGGCCCACTCTTTCTTTGATTCCTGGATCCGCCCTCTTAAGAGCTGTTGTATATAGGGTATCGATAGATTTAAAGGTTTACTTTTTGGAAAAGGTTTAGATGTCTCTACATACGTTTTCATTAAAACCTACCAAAGAAAACACACCTTTTTTAGTTGAAGGAGACGTTGCTGCCGGAAAAGGAGGAAAAGCGATGCTGACATTTTCATTACAGTAATCTTCGTAACAACAGCGATATTGCAAGTATTGCTCGTACTTCTCATCTTTCTCAGGGTATTCACAAGTAGTCATCCTTTCTCCGTGATCCAAGATACATCTTCTTTCTATCACGCCTTCGTCCTCAAGTTCACCTCGTTTTAAAATCGTGAGACAGCTTTCGGTTGTAAGACAAGTGTGATTACTCTCTTGGCAATAGTCACAAACGCAGGTAATAATTTCATCAAAGTACCCTAGGGATTAAATACGTAAAGCGAAATAAGAGTCACTACTTTGAGTCCTCCTTCTATATATGATACGGAGGAGCTAAATTCTAGAAAACATCACGGTCACGGTAGTAGGGATGGTGGTAGGGATGGGCCAGACCCATTTACGAATGCCAGTTCCAGAGTTTATAGCGTTTTTGTGGTTTCTTTCTTGTAGAGAATGCATGAATTAAGAAAAAAAGAAAACTTCTGAACAAAGACACGGAGCGGCCGTGTTCACTTCAACCAAGCTGGTAACTATGAAACCCGATTGACCAGTTACCCTTTAGCCTCTAAGAACCAATTGCTTACTATCAATCACGTGACTTTTTGGAGTTGACTGGGGGGGGGGGGGGGGCAACTAGCGGATGCTAAGTCAAAACATATCAAAATAAGTCTTCAAACTATTGTATTTGACTATTTTCACGACATCAAACCAGAAAACAAGAGATCAAAACAACCTCCAGGATTCTACAAGCCATCAAAAAAGAGCTATTACCGGAAGTGACGTCTATTGATAGCAATCTATATTCAGTGACTGCAGACCTAGTTGTGAGCTCTTGCTAGAATGTTTTAACGACCCGCCAGCGATTAATGCAGCGGGAGGATACAGGGGGTGGCGATTGGGTGGCTATCACCTCTTTGAAAATGAAAATAATAAAAATAAAGGATACGGTAAAGCCTAGATAACGCTAAAAAAATTGGTTTTGAAAATTTGGGGAAATAAAAAAAGGGAATTTGCCTATCATTTCTCTTTTCATACCCGCTATTTTTTCAAACTCCCAATTTTTCCCCGGCCGTTTCTCCCTTCTCCCGTGCTGCGCCGTCCCTGAATCGGGCAAGACAGTGTCGTCAATCAGACTATGTACCGAACAATTTATTGCCCGATTTCGCTGTCGCGACTGTTGTGTCGATATATCACCACGTAGCAAAGTAAATAAATAAAATAAATAATAAATAAATAACTTTATTCAAGTGTCGATGCATTTAGTTTATACAACTAATTGGAGACACTGAAATGAAACTGAAGTGAAGAAAAAGTCAAAGTAACATAAAGTGAAAAACGTGGTAAACGACTGTAAGAAAAACACTGAAACAGATAGAATATTCTACTAACGAGCTACAAACATACATAGTGATTAATGAATGCTTATCAGATGGCAAACAAATAAGATTATCCTTAAAGCCCTTATAAGAATTCTATAGTTTTATCAAGGTCTAGTAGGTAGCTGACTCGATATCATACAAGAATTCAGCCCATCGATTACGAGAAATAGGGCAGTCAGTTCAACCATTGGTGGAAAGCAACGTCCAGACTTACAAATTTCTCAAATAAATCTGTAATGAAATTCACTGCATATTTTAACATTTACTTACCGTCCGAAGCTAAAGTAATAGTTCCAGAAAATCAAACCAAGGTTTGTTTTGGTAATATATTTCAGATTTGACGTTCACAGAATTGATGAATGATATTTTAGTTTTAAAGGAAACAGCTACATGATATCAAATAACTTACAAGCACATTTCTAAAAAGCAATTCTCTGAAATACACAGCAAGGTAGACAAACTAATTTCTTCTTACCTGTAAAAAACAAGGTTCCTAATGCTAGGTATAGCGTTAAGAAAGCTTTCAACTTCATTGGAAGCATCATTCCTTTGAGATTTACTTCAGATCCTTGCAGGAATTCTCACGTGTTCTAAAGTCAAACGCGATTGGTTGAATTTTGACAGATGGACAGCTAAATGTTTACTACTAACTTTTTTCTCATTTTCCCTTAGAGCTCTTTTTTTTTTTTTTTTTTTTTTTTTTTAATTTTAAAACCTATTTCCAAGAATAAAAATTCAGAATCATTATTTTTTAATTCATATCTTCTCAACAAACTTTCCTTTTAAGAAAGGAATCGAGGGCATTAGCGTAGCGGTAGTACTGGCTCGCTTTTCACCTCAAGGGTCTCGCGATCGGGTCTCGATTCCTTGAGTCGGCAATGACATTTGAGTAGGGTTGGTGGACGTCAATCACAAGGCGTTTCCATGACATTGTCGGAAAATACAAAGCTATAAGGGCACATGCCTACAGAATGTCATGGAAACGCCTTGATTGACGTCCACCAAAAGCTTCTTCTCCACGAAAGAAACAATCGCTAGAGGGCGCGTGTGATTGAGATTCGCTGCGTTTATTCCTATATTCTAAGTCATAAACAGTACATTTTTTCGCAGTTTTCTGTATTGTTGCTGTTTTGTATGGATCCCTTCCACGACCATAATTCTTGTTTACAGAAGATTGTTTTCATGTGACTTCATAGTGTAATAAGTCCATTCAAGAAATATCGTCTCATGCATTAAAAAAATTAACAAAATGAAACGCCCTAAGTAGAGTGACTTCATCATCAAACCAACAATTAAGGTATAACCCGTCTACGGGTCAATCCATAATTTTTTTGAGGGGCGGAGGTAAGACACACCCTACTAACCTCAACAAATGACTCCCCCTCCCCCCGCCCAGAAAAGCGTCTAGTAAACACCCTAGCACCCCCTCGGTATTATCTTGCAGCAAATGCATAATAGATAGAAAGGACAAAAAGAATCAGAGACACAAACACTATTAATTTCGTCCTTCTCAAACGTCCAATATTTTTGCCTCCAATTTTCTTTTAAACAGATGTTTTCTAAACCACTACTCATTTGACCAAAAAGAATCACTCTAGAAAGACGCTAGAATTCGCGAATTAAAAGAACATAAATTTCTTTATTATTTTCATCTTTTTCCTTCTTCTCTTCTCAATTATATTAATTATTTCTTTTGGCCCTCAATAAAAATCAAAAATAACGCAATTCATTGCGCCATTACTTTAAAGGTTTTCGTGATTCCGTAGAGCCCGCGTTTTTTAGCCAGCGTATACTTTACTTTTTTTATGCGATTTATTCTTATAATATCGTGTCATGAATCTAGCCAATCACTATAGCCTGCGCATGTAATAATAAAACAAAAACAAATTGTATCTTTAAAAATATACTATTACTATAAAATGGCCTTCGCCAAGTTTACACCATGACGACTAATACAATACCTTATGGCCGGTTTAGACGGTTCGATTTTCGCCTACAACTATCGTATACAACACGCTCGCGTCTGTCGTAGGCGAGTTGTAGGCTTGATTTACACGCTACGACTCGAGTTGTAGGATAGCGCGAGCGTGTTGTATACGATAGTTGTAGCTGAAAATCGTACCGTCTAAACCGGCCTTTATGGGGTTTTTCTATAATCCCATAATGCAATGCGCAAAACGCTGACGTCGCTCCTGACGTGGACACTTTCTAAGGCTCGAATATTTCTCAAACCTATACTATTTTAATTCTTTTATTCTATTGATTACTTTAAGCTTCTGATAATTGTAACTATTTAATAAGGAAAAATATATATTTTTTAATTTTCTACCATGTACCTCACCGATGGTCAACCCTCTATTGCAACTAACAATAATATTATTATTACTATTATTATTAATATTATTATTATTATCATTCTTAAAATAAATAGAATTCCCTCTTTCCCGCTTTGGATTATCACTGCAGCAGAATTTCCATTTGAGAATAAAATAACTGTACGATCAAGGTTTGGTGTCTTGATTTGATTTTGCTGATAGACTTCAAGATGAATGAGACGATTGTGACGATTGAATTTTGGAGTTGCGCGAACTGAAATCTGAAAAAAGGGGAAAATGTTAAATAGCTGCACTCTGTGTTGCGTATAACAATGTATAAGGGTGGAAGAACCTGACGCTAAATTAAAAACCATTAAGGCGCGATTACGCGAAGCAATTTTCTCTGCAACTTGTCTCGCAACAGCGTTGCAACAAGTTCGAAGAGTGTTTACACGTTACAACGGAGATGCAATCGTTGCCAAAAGTAGAAACGAATTCTCAGTGCAAACCTAATATGAAAAAAGACCCTTGGAGCGAGAATGACGTGACTTCTAAATCATACGTGTAGATTATCATACAGGGGTTCATGCACACTTAAATCTTGTCTCCAAAACTTGCATTTTTGACGTTTGTCCCTCAGTGCTACGAGAAACAAAAAACCTGGGGCAAGAATGGCGTAACTTGAGGAGCGCTCATTTTTTACGGCCATTGGGCAGGGGGGGGGGAGGCTGATTGGATTTAGGAGGGGCTATATATATTTATATTCATTTGGAACAAAGTTTATGTACTGATCAGTGCAATACTTCAAATAAAATCTGTCTGTCTGTCTGTCTCTGTTTATATTTCAGGGAAGGTTACCCAAAAAGTTTTAGCTAAATAAAAAATTATTTAAAAAATATACTATTTTAATAGGGAGCCACGTATAAAATTGTGCAAAAACGACATAAATAATTATAATGATGAAAAGATAAATTATACACCGTGAAAAGATGAAAAAGCTCTTTAGTAAGTTTTTTCATCTTTTCATGGTGTATAATTTACCTTATTTTCATCATTACTGTTTCATTAGAAACACCGACGCAGCTCACACTAGTTTTTAGCTAGTTATATCTTTTTAATCAAAATTATAGTTTTTGTTCATGGTGTATAATTTACCTTATTTTCATCATTACTGTTTCATTAGAAACACCGACGCAGCTCACACTAGTTTTTAGCTAGTTATATCTTTTTATAAATAATTATAGTTTTTGTTCCATTTCGTACCTTCTTTGTATAATATAAAGTGAGACGATTACCCAGTGACAAGCTTTAGTAGAAACATCAGCGCCAAGGCGTGGACAAGCAGGACGTAGCCAACAAAAGCTGACCTTGCTATACCACGTGGTTTCATGCTAATGAATGGGGAAAAAAGAATTCAGAATAATGAACATTTTCACAGTTCCCTGCGCCATCTTGAAAGGTAACCGTGCATATGCAATGAAGCGAGACGAACGGTGAGCTTGCAATGATAGAGACATGTGAATAATTGTCCAAGGTGTTAAAAAAACTCTAGGGAATTCATTCACCATTTTCCATACATCGGTTCACTGGTGAAACACAAAGCGCTCAAGCGAGGCGCCAATGTAATTTCAAAGGATTATTCAAATTTGAACCTTGCAACCTCGACTGAATGCTTTGTGTTTGACCAGGGAACCGATGTATGGAAAATGGTGAATATGATAGTCTAGGGAATGACACGTGGTCTGTAATGGGAAGACATTGCATAACCACGAGTAAGGTCTATTTGGTCCACTTCTATATATAAACACTCAAGAAAAATAAAAGTTAAAAGTCGCACAGACTTACCTTCTTCTAAAAATTCTACCAAAATATGAAGCAGATGACTTTGCGTGACGACCTGGAATTCAAACCATAAAAGGAAAAACATCAATCAGATCAAACGTCAACCAGATATCTTTTGCATTGTTTGATATCCACCGCATTGTTTTAACATTCACCATACATCAGTTCACTGGTCAAACACAAAACATTCAGTCGAGGTTACAAGGTTTAAATTTGAATAATCCTGAAAGTACCTTCGCCTCGCTTGAGCGCTTTGTGTTTCACCAGTGAACCAATGTACGGAAAATGGTTAATTCGGTACTTGAATGAGTAACAAGCTTTAAAGGGGTCTTTGCTGAAGAGGAAATACCGGAAAAGGAGTTGGGGGGAGGCCCCGCGTATTTCACCCAATTAGTGAGTCATTAAGTTAAATACTGTGGATTAGGGATGAAGAAAACGTGCTGTTTACCAATGTTTGAAGCTGTGTATTGATAGAGTTTTTGTTCTCGTCCATCGCTTGTTATAGGACTTTGAATATCTTCGATATCGATAGCAAACTGAAAGAGATTTAAAAAAGCGGATAAGATAGATTATTTGTTAAAATTAAAAATAGCAAACGAGCAATTAAGCTAGTATCAAATGTTTAGAGAGAGTAAAAATCCTGTTACGCATTAAAACATTCAGCTGAAGCGTGTGTACAACGGCTTTGCGAACAAGTTTCATGGCGGTGTTACACTGCACTATTTAGGCTTTGTGAAACACAGCTGTGTCGCGAACAAGTTACAGGACGAAATTGCACCGTGTAGCATCCCCGTGAAACTTTCTTCGCAACGCTGTTACACACAAGTTTCAGCTAAATGTTCCAACGTGTAACAAGGCCTTAAAACTACCTGTGAAGATGATGGTCTTTGTTGTCGTAATTGTTCTTCTGTCTGGGTCAGGCGTTTCTCCAGCTCGGTTCTTGCTTCTCTCTCTTCTCGTAGTTGATCCTGAAGTGAAGCATGAACAAGAAAAAGACGTTAAATTTGTCTAAACGTTTTGAGAGATATTGCATGTATGTTAACAAAATACAACAGTCATCATAAAACAGCATGTTTATTATTACCAACATCATGAATAATTATCATCATCACCAACATAATCATCGTCATCATCGTCATCATTATTAAGATCATCAACATCAATAACCTCATTATTAACATTGTTATCATCAATAACATTATCAATACCATCTTCACTACCATTAACACCGCCACCGCCGCCGCCGCCACCATTATCATCCCATGTACATCATCATCATCAACAAAACTTTCATTAACATGACCTTCCTAAACTACGTAGTAGATGAGTAAAACCTTACCTGGATTTCATTACACTCGAGGCATTTCTCATCGTATAATCTACATGTTTCGTCAAGCCTATGCGAAAAAATTAAAACATTATTAAAACAATTTTAGTGAATATGCAAATTCATATTTACTCGGGTTTCCTTTAGAATGGCCGAGTATAAAATGGCCTTTTTGGATTTTCTTCTATCCGTCGGAAATCGCCAACTTGTGTCTAGGACGCATGCGCATTGCCACTGAGCTCATGACAAAGAAGGCTCGCCGTACACACCAGATCCTAGAAAGAAGCCCTTGGAAGCCCGAGTTCATGCTCTGAAGCTGTCTGGTACAACGCTTACTTCCACACTTTCTACCATTAGTGTAGCAGAAAGTTTTAATTTGTCGTATCTACTCAAAATAACAACGTTCAATACCTTTCGTTCAAGCCAAAGACATCGATACTATCAACAGGTGATTGCAGGTTTTGGTCGATAACTACTTCGGTAAGTTCCTCGAACACTTGCTCCTGAAAAATTAAACAACGGACTTAACAATTGAGTTTATATATAGCCGTCCGCCAACATCAATTTTTACTGTACTTGGAAATCGTAACGTTGGACGCGCGTAATAGAACTTATTCGTCTTGGTGCCATGTTTACCCATGTTTATCCAGTTGCATAAAGGCACGAACACACGGTGCAACATTGCAGGCAATGTTGCTGAAGTAGGATAGTTTTCTACTTCAGCAACGTTGCATGCAACAAATTGCGTCGTGTTTCATGGCTCGCAACATCAATTGCATGCAACATTGCGCGCAACGTTGCACCGTGTGTCCGTAGCTTAAGTTGCTTGATATACTGCGAGGATCAGCTCAATTTGATATGTTTACCCATTATAAAGCACGTTTCATTCCCAATAGTATCATTTCTTCCATTAACGGTTGTGCATGAGAAGAAATGAATATGAATCCTACTCAAAGAATCTTATTCTCAAGAGAATGTCACGTGGTCTGTAATGAGAAAGCATTACCCCAAGACGAATGAGGTTTAGTACGAATAGATGTGACTTGGCTATAAGTCAGAAAGATGTGCTACAGTACCTGTGGTGATGTCTTTAATGGCAGGTTCTGCTTCACCTCGACATGCTCTTTTTCCCACGAACTCAACATACTTCTGTTATTTTCAAGCTCGTACTCCAAGATATTCTTTTGCTGTTCTAGTTCGTTTATCCGAAAAGCGAGTTCGTTGCAGGAAGCTTCGTCCTTCGCTCGTCTTTCTTGCATTTTTTTATTTTCAATTTCGAGAATGTTTAGTTTCGATTGTAGTTCACTTAGTAAAGGAGAAATATCGTCTTCGCCTTCTTTCTTTCCTGAGTCTACACCCAACTCTTTGTCTTGCAGTGCTTTTAGTTTCTTGTTCGCTGCATCACGTTCGCTCCTCGCTTGGTCTAAATCCGACCTCCAGCCAAGTCCGATGTGTTCAAAGTTCTTCTTGATTTGAAAAATTGCCGAATCCTTTTCTCTCAGGGATTGTTTCAGTCCTCTATTTTCAGAATCGAGTTTCTCGAGTTTTTTGGAGAGATCCTCATTCTCCTTAAGACAAGTTTGTAAATCCTTTCTCAGATTGTCGCTCACTTTTTGGAACTTTGTATAAAGTTGGTCTTTTTCCTTCCTGGTTTTGTGATACTCTTTAGAAATTTTGTTCATTTCTGTTTTCATTTCTTGCAAAGTGTTGGCGAATCCTTCATGGTTTGGACCCTCACTCGACAAAGGAACAGAAACGTCTCGTTTCTCCAATGCCGCTCTTAATTTTGCCGCCAGATTTTCTTTCTCCTTGACAACGCTCTCGACCTCGAAACGTAATAACTGAATCGTTTTTTCTCGTTCAAGGCTCTGAGCTCTAGCCTGGTCTAGATCAAATGCTAAAGCAGTGTTCAATCGTTCGTAGTCCTTCTTAATCTTCGAGCGATAGAGTTCTTTTTCTTTGGTGGCATTCTCCGCTTCGTCTCGCAGCCGATCACTTTGCATCGCCATTTCGTTATACCCTTTCTGCATCTCTTCTACCATTTTCTTCGATTCTGATTCATCCAACTGCTGTCTTAGATTGCTGACCTCTTCACCGAGATGCACTAGCTTCTCAGCCTGAGTATTCAATGTTTGTTGCAGCTTTGTTCTATCGCTTAACGAAGCTTCTAACCTTTCCCTCAACTCATCACACTCTCTTCCTAGGAACTCTTTGTCTTGACTCAAACCGCTGATTTCTCGGTCAAGTTGCAGCATCTCGGCTAGAATTTCGTCCTTTTCGTTGACCACAGCTGCAACCTCTTCTTTGAGCTTGCCTATTTCATCTGCATTTTGATTGATCAAATCATCTTTCACATCGAGCATCTTTTCGTATTCGCTCTTCAAGCCTTCTGACCGTCCTCCCTGCTCGTCAAATGCCTGCTTTATCTTGGATTTCAAATTTTCTACGATTTCGTCCCTCTCTTTCACGAACGTTTGCATTTCTATCCTCAATTCTTTCACTCTCTGTTCGCACTGCAGTTTTTCAGTAAGGATGCTTTCTTTCTCTTCTACTACGTTTCGGTAAGATTCTTCAAATCCTTCTCTCTGAAGTGCCAACTCCTTGTTGGTCTCTTGCAGCCTGTTACTTAGATCTTTAAGCTTCGTTTCAGTTGCTGAAACTTTTTCTCTTAACTTTGAAACAAGACTTTCTTTCGCATTTTGCGTCGAGCTTTCTACTTCCTCGCGTAAGCTACTGATGAGAGTTTCTGAATCTGCTGACTTCTGTTCAAGTTCTGCTCGATGAGCAACGAGGATTTCAAGATCTTTTCGAAGGTTGGAAACGATTTCTTCAAGATCGGCATTCCTGCGGCCAAATTCTGAGTTCTGTTCGTCAAGAACTTTGGCATTTTCCGTTACAAAATTCAAACGTTCTTTGAGTTTCTCGTTAGCATTTTTCAAATCTGTGGCTTCTGTTTCCAATCTCGCGGTTCTCGTTTGTAATTCATTCTTAACACCAAGACATTCCTCATAGTTGTCTGTAATGGCAGCAAGATCTCTGGTTTTCGATTCCAATTGTCTTTGACTTGCCTCGAGTTCATTCTGAATAAATTTGATATCAGAATCTTTTTGTGACAAGAGTTCCTCGTACTCATCCTTTAAATTCTCAACCACTTTCCCTTTGTCATTAGTTAGAACATTCAACCTTTCTCGAAATCCATTGATCATCTCTTCTTTATCATTGACCAAAGCGGCCATTTCAGCCCTCAAGTCCTTCAACCTTTGCTCCTTTTCTAAGCTTTCATTGGAAACTCTTTCAAAGCCTTCTTTTACATTTTCAGCCTCTGACTTCAAATTCTTCACCATGTGCTTCAATTTGGAATTGATTTTTGTCTGCTGCTGTAATTTCTTTTCCAACTCGCTTTTCTTGGCTGTATATTGGAGCAATTCTTCTTCGACATTTGACTTCTCAAATACCTGGACTTCATCAGTATTCACGCCTTGATCTTTCAAGGAAACGGAGTCCTTTTCCTTTGAAGACTTTAGTGGCAACTCGTTTTCTGGCAGCAAAGCCAACTTTTGTGGCTCCTCACTTGAAATATTCAAGAAGTCTTGCATGTAATCAGTGCCAAAGCTTTCATCCACTGGAGAACTCTCGGCAACTTGTTTGATTTCAAAGGGAAGAATAACTGGGACGGGCTTCCCTTTTGAAGGAATCTGTTTTCGCAAGCGATCTGCTTCTATTCTTAGTTTATGTAGAGCTCTGTCTTTTTCCGCTTTGTCGTGCATTGCTTCTTGTAAGTCTTCCCTCAGTCCCTGAAGAATGTGTTCCATCTCAGCTTTGGCCTTATCACTTTCTTTTAATAAATTATGTTTATTAATCAATTCATTTTTGAGAGAAACGTTGTCATTATCTAGAACGTTGAGGTCTTTTTCAACTTGGGCAAGATCTGTGTTAAAGTTTTCGCGTAAATCGCTCATTTTTTGTTTCAGCTCTTCGTTGGCTGAGTTGAGCTCTTTCAGTTCTTCTTGTAGGCTCTTCACCGTTGGTTTCATGTCTTCCGCATCAGAATCTAGTTTTTCTTCACCTGATTCTTGGGTTACGTCTTTGGCTGCTTGTTCATTCAACCGATCCAACTCAGCCTTCAAGGCACTTGCCTCTTCTCTTAAAGCTTCGAGCTCCACAGCATAGCTTTCAATCTCCTTGTCTTTTTCCGTGATTCGACCATCTTCAATATCCATGCAATCGACCGAGGCATCTTTCATAGTTGGTAATGTTCTATCTCCAGTTTGAGCCTGCATTCGTCTTAATTGGACTTGGAATTCGTAAGCCAGTTGGTCAGCGGCTGACTTGCCTTTAAGAGCATGCTCCAAGTCTTCACGTAGACCTGATACAATGTGATCAAAATTTCCACGAAGCTCATCTATATTCTCCCTCTCTTTAGCGAGTTTTTCATTGACACTATTCAATTTCTCGATTTTCTGATTGGCAATCCCAAGAGCTGATTCTTTAAGGTCCAGAGCAATGGTTTGCTGCGATAACAATTCTTCAAAATCAGACTTTACATCCTGTATTGCCTTGTCATGATTTTCACCAAGCTCTTTGACCTTGTTCTCAAGTTTTGTAATCAACAAGTTTTTCTCTTCAATGGCGGTACCCTTTTCGAGAAGAGCAATTTCATCCCTCATCGCTTTGATACTTTCTTCCTTTTCTTCGACCAACTTTTCGTATTTGCCGTTCAGTGTTTCACACTTGTCCTTCTCCTCCAGAAGATGTTGCATTTTTGCTCTCAAGTCACTGACAATCTTTTCTCTCTCACGAACAACCTGATCTAATTCTATACGGAGTTCCTGACAAATCTTCTCTCCATGGATCTTATCTTCGCGAGCCTTTTGTAGTTCCTCTTTAAGTGATTCAACATCAACGCCTTCAACATCCTCACCACCTTGCCCTCGCTTCTTCAGGACCTGTCTTAACTTCTTCTTAAGTTTCTCATTTATATCTTTTATTTTCTGTAATTCAGACTGCGAAGTATTAAGCTCGTTTCTCAGGTTGTTTTCTGTGGCCGTATCTACGTCCGAGGGAAGTGCTTCAGTTTGAAGTGAACTGGTCTCAGGAACAACAACGCTGTTTAGTTGCACCTCTAGTTCTTTATTCCTTTGCTGCAGGGACTCATTTGCTTCTTCAAGCATCTTTATTTTATCAAGATGTGACTGCACCTTAGTAGAAGAGCTGTCGAAATTCCTGACTTGATTTTCAAGCAACTCAATTTTACCATTCAAATCCATCTTTTCGTTGTTCAGTTTTTCAATAACACGATTCATATCTTCTATTTCTTTCTTCCTTTCTTGTTCTGATTTATTTAGCAAATCTAATCGTTCACTCAAAGTATTAGTCACTGCTGTCTGTTCTTTAAGCTGTTGAGTTAGTTCATCTACTTCTTTGGTCTTCTCTGACATCAGATCATTACGTGTTGCATTGTCCTGTATATTTTCATTAGCAACTTCATTTAGTCGGTTTATTTCTTGATTCAGTTCCTGTATGGTATCTTCTCTCTTCTCAAGCTCTTCCTTATTCCCAATCAAGGTTTCTTTCATTTCTTCTAATTCGTTATTTAAACGTACGAGCTCTTCTTCTCTTTCCGAAAGAGCAAGTTCCAGCTGTACTCCTTCTTCCTTGAGTGCACGAATTTTTTCGCGAGCTTCCTCGAGAGCAGCATTTCTTTCTGTTGTGAGCTCTTCAATTTTCAATTTCGAAGATTCCACGGTTTCTTCAAGCTCTTCTTCGAATCTTTTCAGTTTGAGTTCCAATTTTTCTTCTAAGCTTTCTCGAGTCTTTTTCTCTTGGTCAAGGTTTTCTTGCAGCAACGCAATATCTTCTTTTGATTTACTTAGCTCTGATTCGAGGACCTCTTTCTCGTTACGTACTTCCTTTAGCTCTTCTCGTAGTTGTTCTACACTCGATTGTAATTCTTGTATCAAAGCATCCTTCTCAGCTTGAATAACTTCGAACTCCCTTTGTAATCCCTCACTCATTTCCTCTTTGCCTTTCTCAGAATCTGCGACCAACCGCTTGAACATTTCGTCTTTTTCTGTATGCGCCTTTTCGATGGCTTGTTCCAGATCTTTGATCTTATCTTCGAGAAGCGTTTGTGACTCTACATATTCCTTCTTCAATTCTTCTTCGATTTGGTTTCGTTCGGTGCGCATTTCATCGAGTTTCTCTCTCAAGTTCAGTAAGATTTCATCCTTATCTTGGACGACTTTTTCGAAATCTTCCTTCAATCGATCTATCTCCTTTTTCCCCTTCTTTGAATCGGTCATCGCTAAATCTCTTTCCTCTCGAGCTTCGTCGAGTTTATCCTTCAAATTCTGCAACACATCTTCTTTTTCCTTAAAAGCAAGTTCAAAATCATCTCTCAAGCGTTGGCACACTTGTCCCTTGTCAGCCAGCACCTTGGCTACTTCTTCCTCTAGAATTTTCCTAGTCTGTTCATTCTCAGATAAAGATCTATTTAATTTTTCATTTTCTGAATTGGCTTCCCTTAAAGAATTCTCAAGCTCTTGTCTTTGCTGTTCTACAGATTCTTTCTCTTCATGCAGTGACTCTGCGCGTTTGTACAAATGTTCTGTTGACTTCATCATCTCTTCTTTCCAGCTGCCATCCACTTCGTCTCGCTCTCGTATCATCTTCTCTAGCTCATCATGGGATTTCTTTTTATCAACAAGTTTTTGTTCAAGTTCTAAACACACCATCTGCGCCGAACGCTCGACAGCTGTCTTCTTCTTTATGGCATTTTCAAGATCAAACCTCAAACCCTCACAAATGTTATCGAACTCAGATTTAATAACTTCTGCTATTTCTTCTTTTTCTATGGCAAGTTTTTCCAGTTCTTTTGTTAACGCTTCGCATCTTTTACAGCCAGTCGCTTCGGCGCTCTCTACAGGTAGCCCAATCTGGCCTACATTCGAAACAAGGAGAGCCTCTTCTAACTCCTTCTTAAGGACTAGGCAATTTTGGCACTCGATACTTGTTTCTGTTGAACCAACTTGACCTTGAAGTTCTTTGATTTGGGCTTTCAGTTCGTCTTCAGTCGTTTCCTTCTCTTCTCTCAAGGCTTCGAGTTCTTCATTCACGAAAGCTAAAGCACTTTCTTTTTCATTAAAAACTTTGTCAAATTCTTTACGGAGGTTTTCACAGGCCTCTTCTTTTTCGTTTTTTATTTTCTCGATTTCCTTGTTCAATTGTTCCTTTTCTTCTCGGCCCTGTTTGACGTGGGTTTTCAGCTTGTTCTTGATTCTGTCAAAATTCTTCTTGGCCTTCTCAAGTTCAACAGATAGTGTCTCCTTGTTAGTGGCTGTTTCTTCGTTTTCAGCCTAAAAAATAATTTAAATTTTCAACATGTTAATGTAACTTACTGTAAGTAATAAAAACATGCATAGACCAAATTTGCTTTGTTACATATATCATGCATTGCAATAATTACCGACAAATGCTAACACATGTAATCATACCACACCCATTACATCATCATAAAGATTAAACACCAGCAAATCGTTCTCCCTTCCCTTCCCTTCCTTTTCCTCTCCTCTCCCCTCTTTTCCTTTCCTCTCTTCTTTAGATTTCCTTCCTATCCTCCGTCCCTCCCTCCGTCCTTCATTTTCTCCCAACCTGTTCAATTCAAATTTCATTCATTCTTTTATTCTTACCTTAATGATATCGCTCCCTTCTTGTGAGAGACTCCGTTCAAGATTCACTCTTTCAAGCTGTGCTTCCAGTTCAGCATACTTGGCAGAGATATCCATAAAGCTTGACTCCCATGAGGATCTTTCATTACTGAACTGCTCGTCCAAATCACTCTTTTCGCGCATCACTTTTTCAAGGTCCAGATTTAACTCTTCCTCAAGATGAAGCAAGTCCTCTTTCGTTGCTTCTAAGGATTTTTCCTTTGATTCCAGACTTTCTTTAAGCTTCTCATTCTCTGCTTTCAGACTCTCGATAATGTTATTAATTTCTTTCGATTCGTCTTGTGATGGAAGTGCAGTTTGAATATCTGCTCGCATGCAACTTATGGCATCATCATACTCTATTTTGATACGGGATATTTCTTGTTCAGCTTCTGTTAGCTTCGATAACAGTTCATCATTTTTACGGTGCATTTCCGACAACTCTTTTTGCTTGGTTTCAAGCTCCGTCATCAACATCTGCAGATCTTGTTCTCTTGAAGAACCATCTTTGCTACTGCTGCCTTTCAAGTTGTTCGCCAGTGTTGTCATTTCTTCTTGATGCAGTAAATATAGTTCTTCAGTTTTCATTTCAAATGTTTCTTTTAGTAGCTGAATTTCTTTTTCTTTTTGGGACAACACGTTCTGATTTTCATTCATTTCTCTTTTCATCTTTTCCTTTTCAGTGCGTTCTTCTTTCAGCTTTTTCTTTAGCTGATGGATAAATTTATCCTTATCCCCAACCGCTTTCTGAATATCTTCTTTTGAAGCACTCTGCTGTAGACGAACATCCATTTCGACCTTTTCAGTTTGTATTCTCTCCAAGTCAAGTTTCAGGTTCTGTGCTTCAAGCAAAGCCTCTTGCAGCTTCAAGTTCATCTCTTCCTTTTCCTGGTGCGTTTCCCGGAACTCGCTCTTTAAGTTATTTAATTCACTATCTTTTTCAGACACCGACTCCTGAAGCTCGTTCTTCACAAGCTCGATTTCTCGCAACTGCACAACCTCTGCACTTAGTCTCTGAACCTCATCTTTCAAATCATTCTTCAAGTTCCTCTCGTCTTGAATTTTGTCATTCAGTTCTTTGACTTTGGCATCGCTTTCTTTCTTCAATTCTTCAACTTTTGCCTTATATTCAGCATTTATTTTCTTATTTAGTTCAATTTTTTCTCTAATTTTATCTTTGAGTTTGGTAATGACACCATCTTTGTGGCTCTTTAGATCTTCGAGTTTCTTCGTCAACTCATCTTCAAGGTTCTTTCTTTCCAAGTTCTTTTCTTCTACCACTTCGCTGATTCTAATTCGAAGTGTTTCTTCGAGCTCTGCGTTAAACTGTCCTGCCATTTGAGTCTTCATGGTCTCCAACATCAGATCTTTCTTATCGATCTCTTCCTGAAGCGAGCTCCGTACTAAGTCATCTGTTTCAGTCTCATTTCTTTTAACTGCCTCAAGTTCATTTTTCAGGTTGTCTAATTGATTTTTAAGAAGATCACGCTCCTCAAACGACTTCTCTAACATGTCGTTCAACTCTTTCTTATCACCTTCTACATCTTTATCGGTACTTTTAATCATTTCCAATTCATTTGAGATTGCAATCAATTCATTCTTGAGATCTTCTTTTTCCTGGATAGCCTCTTCCAACATTTTATTGATTTCACTCTTGCTTTCTTCAAACTCTGCTCTGGAAACATCAGCTTCGTTTTTCAGACGTGCAAGCTCATTTTCAAGTTCACTTCTCAAACCGAGTTCGCTTTCAGTCGCTGCTTTGTACTGTGAGGACATATCTTCCCTTTCTTTTTGCAAGAAATCGATTTTACTTCTGTAATCTTTAATTTCATTTTCAATATCACTTCTGAGCTGGATTTCTTTATCTAATGCTGATTTAAAATATTCATCATTTTCTAGTTTTTCTTGTTGTAGGTCTTCGCATTTCTTCTTTAAATCATCCAGGTCGTTTTTCAGTTTTGTGACCAACTCACGCTCTTCCTCTAAAGCAGCCGCGAGTTGTTTCTCCTTTTCCTTCTTTTCATCTTGAAGCGCTTGGATTTGTAGCTCCAAATTCTCCACCTCTTTTTCCAACTTGCCATACGACTGTTGAAGTTCTGCCTTCGTTTCTTCGTTCGCAAGAAGCTGCGATTTAATTTCACTCAGTTCAGCAGATTTCTGTTCAACAACTTTATCAACCTCTCCTTTAGCCATCTCATCCATTTCTTCCAGTCTCCTTAAAGCGTTATCAAGTTGTTGATTTAAACTTTCATTCTCGTCTTCCGTGCTTTTTAGCTTGTTTGCCGCTTCTTCTAGCTCTTGAGAGACATTCTCGAAACTGGACTGCAAAGAATGAAGGTTTGATTTGTAAGAGGCAAGCTCATCAGATATCGTTTCCTTGGCCAAAACATGTTCTTCGCATTCCTTCCTTAATTTCTCAGCTTCATCTTTTGCGTTCTGTTTCTCCACATCTGAATATTCTAGAGAACTTTGAAGCTTGTTTCTTTCTTGTAAAATTAAGTCATACTCATTCTGGTATTCTTGTAACTCTTCTGCTTGCTTTCTGTAACTTTCTTTTAATTCTACAAGTTCCATGGCATCCAATTCCTTAGACTGTAACTCATCTCTCAAACCCTCTATTTGTCGGCTGAGGTCATCTTTTTCTTCCTTGCGTCGCGTAAGTTCTTGGCGAAGAGTTTTTAGTTCTTCGTCCAAGGCAATATTTTCTTCTCTAAGTGACGCTATTTCACCTTCGTAGAATTGTAATTTGGCATTTTCTTCTGCCAACTCCTTCTTGACGACTTCCAGCGCTTCTTTAAGGTCCGCTATCTCTTTGGTGTTTGTTTCATAAGCTTTCTTGAGATTCTGAGCCCTTTTCTTCCATGTTTTCACTTCTGCGTCGTGTTTGGTTTGGAGTTCTTCAAGTTCTACGTTAGATCCTGCTGCTTTAGAGCTGACGTCTTGGAAACTCGCCTCCAGTGCGCTTAAACTAGAGTTCCGCTCATCAAGACTTGCTTGTAGGAGACTAAGTTCACTTTCCTTCTCTTCCAGGCATTTCTTCAAGTCGTTATTATCTTCTAGCTGCTTTTCCAGTTCTTCTACTTTACAATTAGCATTTTTTAGCTCAGTTTTTAGCGTGGAAATCTGCTCCGTCTGCACCTCAAAACTTTCTTGCATTAAATCCAGCTCTTCGTCTTTTCTCTTGACAATTTCCTCCGAGCCTTCTTTTTCAGCTAATGCGTTTTCTAACTGCTGAACCTTTTCCCGAGCAGAAGCAAGCTGTTCTTTAATACCCTTCTGTCTCTTTAGTTCACCTTTAAATTTCTTCAGCTTCTCTAGAGAGGCAGATAATTCATTCTCTAACTCAGAGATTCTACTTGTCTTCTCTCCTAAGCCTTGTCCGAGGGATGAGATTTCTGTATCTTTAGCATCAAGGGCTGACTGCATTTCTCCAAATTCTTTGGAAAGTGATTCTAAACTTGAGACTCTCGATCCAAGCTCTTCTCTTAGTCGCGTTACTTCTTCGTTATTCTTTTCCGCTTTCTCTTTGAGAATCTCGTTGGCTGCTTCCATATCACTAAGTTCTTCCTTCAGTTTTATTACATTTGTTTCTAACTCTCGAGACTTTTCCACTAGATTGCTTTCGACTTGACTTTTCTCGTTCACCGATCTATCAAGTTCCGTAGCCTTGGCAACATAACCTTCTAGTTCCTTCCAGAGTTCTTGCACTTCTTTTTCTTTTTCCGAGAATTTTACTTTTAACTTCGAAATTTCGTCGTCTTTGCTGGACATGTCTTGCTCTAGCTCAGCATTTTTGTTCTGGAGTTCTTCCAGGAACGTTTGCAGGTCATATTTCTGTTTCGCCAAGCCATCTTCTTGGTCAACCTTCTTTTTGAGTTCTTGTTCCAGTTGCTCAGCTTTGTTCTTCATTTTTTCTAATTCTATAATGGTTTCTTTGTATTGATTTTCTAAAAGCTGCTTTTCTTCTTCAATTTGTTGACTTGTCTTCTCTTTCTGCTCCTTTTCTTCCTTCAGTTTGCTCAGAGACTCCTCCGCCATGGCAACACTCGCCTCCTTAGCAACCAATGTTTCTTCGATGATCGATTTAGAACCCACACTCTCTTTCAGCTCAAATCTACTCACTTCTAGCTGTTGTTTCAATTCCTCGACTTCTTGTTGTAACTGTTTAACCGTTTCTTCTTTGGTTTTTAATAGTTGTGTAACCTTCTTTCCCTTTTCTTTTAGATCCTTAATTCTAGCGTTTCTTTTCTCGATTTCTTTAGTGAATTCTTCAATCTTTTCTTCGAGCTCCTTTTCCAATTCAAGCATTTTTCCATCTCTTTTTTCCAAGACTTCATTTAACTCTTGGATTCTCGCTTCAAGACTTTGAACCTGAGTATCGTTCGATTGCTTTTCCTTCTCATCTTCTTTATTCCTCTTCTCGATTTCTTTAGCAAATTCTTCAATCTTTTCTTCAAGCTCTTTTTCCAATTCAAGCATTTTTCCATCTCTTTTTTCCAAGACTTCATTTAACTCTTGGATTCTCGCTTCAAGAGTTTGGATCTCAATGTCCTTCGACGCTTTTTCCTTTCCATCTTCTTCATTCCTCTTCTCGATTTCTTTAGCAAATTCTTTAATCTTTTCTTCAAGCTCCTTTTCCAATTCAAGCATTTTTGAATCTCTTTTTTCCATGACTTCATTTAACTCTTGGATTCTCGCTTCAAGAGTTTGGACCTGAGTATCCTTCGATTCCTCTACCTTCTCATCTTCTTCTACTTTCTCAGAAATAGATTTCTCCAACTCCATTATTTTGTTACCTCTTTCATCCAAGGCTTCCAGATACTCAGCTTCCTTTCGTTCAAGTTCATGGACCCGTTTATTTCTGTCTTCTATTTCTTCTCCAAACTCTTGAGACTTCTCAGCAATACTCTGATTAAGTTCTCTGATCTTCAACTCTCTCTCTTCGACCAAAGCAGACAAATCATTTACTAGGTTCTCTTTCATTGAATTGATCTCATTGATCTCTTCATCCTTGGTCGAAACTATTGATCTCTCGTGTTCAAGCTCTTTATCCTTTTCAGAGCAAGATTCATTTAGCACGGAAACCTCGTTTTCCATTTCAGCTAGCTGTTCAAGCAACGAGCCTATCTTTTTCTCGGACCTCTCTTTCTCTAATTCTAACCCGTTCTTTAACTGTGTCACTTCATTGTCAACAGATTCAAGCCTTTTCTTCAGTTCTTCGTTGGCGTTATTCGATTCCTCCAATCTCGTCTTTAAAGCTTCGTGTAGATCTTCCTTTGTTAACTCAGTGTCTGACAGCGTTTGCTTCAAGTTTTCCACCTCTTTTGTAAGCTCTTGCTCCACAGCGCTTGAATCTACCAACTTATCCGTTAGTTGAGCCTTGACCTCTTCCAACTCGGATATCCTCTGTTGCAAAGCGTTGTTAGCTTCTTGAGAGTCAGCTATAGATGAACTAACCGTGGATAACTCTTTAGAAAGAACTTCTAGACTGGTCTCAAGCTCAGAAACTTTCTTCCTTAAATCTTCATTTACCTCTTTTAAATCATCTACCGCGGTGTTGGCAGCCGAAAGTTCGTTTGTAAGATCTTCCTTTGTCTTTTCAAGCTCCAACAAACGTTCGCCCAAAGAATCTTTTTCGGTTTTCAACTGTTCCTGTAAAGCATCTTTTTCTCTGGCGCTAGCTTGAAGATGCGTAGCTTCCTCGACTTTCTCTTGTTCAAGCTTTTGTAGCGAGTCTTTCAAGGCAGATATCTCAGCATCTTTTTCTTTCAACGCGATTGAAGTAGCATTGCCTAGCTGCTCGAGTCTAGAATCAAGTGAGTCTGCGCGGAATCGTTGTTTTTCTACGATGGACTGAGATCTTTCTAACAATGCTGTTTGTTCTTCCAGTTTCTCTTTCAAAGAAGAAATAGCAGCGTCTTTCAGTTGGAGTTGATGCTGTAAGAGGAAAAAAACGTTACATATGTTTTGGTTTCTTATCAATCATATATTAGCCGGATCATAACCAAGAAATAGCTGTTATTACAGTTGAGCCCTTAATGAGATATTCTTTTGTTTTAAGAATCATACAAGTGAGGCTATCGGGTCGATACAATGCTTGTTGTCTCATTTGCATCCTATTGGGAAGCATGGGTGGCGTATCGGTTTTAGCGGAGGGTTTTTCTGGTTCTCCGGTTTTCCTCCCTCCGCAAATATCAACTTCTAAATTCTAAATGGAACGTAAGTGGATGATGAGCCACTGTAAGGAAATGCCACTGCTAAATCCTATCTATATATTCATTCCTTTGCGTGTATCCACCAAGTATCAAAAAAGGAAGTGTTAAAAAAGTAAAGCTTGAAACGTTTCTTGTGGGAAAAAAGGTCATATTCTGAAGAAATAGAAAACGCGCGCCCGTGCCGTGTGCAGTTATAAAGCACGTGGGGATTTGCAGGACACGAGAGAAGTGTTTAAAGAAGCACGACGCGTAGCGGAGAACCCATCAGAAAGCGAGATTTTTAACAGTCATCTTATAATAAGAATAAATTGCACCGCGTTTCTTCTCGTGCGCAAGCGCACCGCTAAGAAAAGAAATGAAATTCTAGGGAATGACACGTGTTCTGAAATGGGACAACATAACGCACAAGTTAAAAGGGTCTAATAAAGAACTTAAAGCTATTAAAGACATACCTGCGCCTCTGAATATTCAGCCTCCTTGGAAGCAACCTTGTCACTGTACGACAGTAGTTCGTCAGCTTTACTTTGTAATTTCTCTGTAGCCTCGGCAACTTTTTTGTCTTTGTTTTCCAATTCGTTCGTGATTGTGTTGATAAACTGTTCTTTCTCTTGCATTGTAGACCTGGGACGAATATCGCAACAAATGTCACATTTTCTGCCCAAGAAAGCATTTGTCCTGCAGCCTTCGGCTCAAATAAGCTATCAGTGTTTACAATCTCCTTTTGTCTTTACATTTGACAAATACCAAAATCCATGTCTAACCGACAATTTTAGTAAAACATCTTACTTTGCGCGTAATGTTTGCCCATTTCAGACCATAAGTCATTCACTAGAGTATTATTTCTTTGTTTAATAGTTGTGCATGAGAAGACACATGAATCTAGTTCTAACTCAAACAAAAGAATCTAATTTTCAAGAAAATGACACGTGGTTTGAAATGGGAAAACATCACGTCCTTGGAAAAGAGGTCTCAACTAAAACAAAGAATATTATTCTCAAGAGAATGACACGTGGTCTGAAATGAAAAACATCACTTCCAACGTTAAAGAGGTCTCATTTTATACCATAAGTCATTCCCTAGAGTATCATTTCTTTGTTTAATAGTTGTGCATGAGAAGACACATGAATCTAGATACAACTCAAACAAAGAATCTTATTCTCAAGAAAATGACACATGGTCTGAAATGGGAAAACATTACACCCAAGGACAAGAGATCTATTATGACAATGGGTGAAGTAAAACGCCAACTTAGGCATTGAGTACCTCAGAAGCTGTAGATTTTGTTGCAATTGCGCGATCTTGTTTTCTAAATACTCGGTGTGTTTTTCCCGCTCTTCCAACTGCTCGTCGAGTTTCTTCAAAGTCTCTTTATTCTCTTCTTCCTTCGCTTCAAGAAGCATCTGGAGTTCAGAGAGCATGGACTGAGAAAAGAATGAATCAACAGCATGGATGAAGAGATGAGTGACAGCACATTTAGATAGAACATTATTTACTATTATCATTAGTATTCCCCTTATCAACAATACATAACATAAGTGCATGCATTTACAAGACATTAGGAACTGTATTTTTACTTTATTACAACCAGCCTAAAGACCCTGTTACGCGTTGAAACTTTTAAATTAAACTTGTGTGCAACAGCGTTGCGAGACAAGTCTCACGAGATGGTGTTCTGAAACTTGTTCGCGACATAGGCTTTGGTTACATGAGTAGAACTGTTTTTCAAGAGCTTCAGGACGAAATTGCCCCGTGTAAAACCCCCGTGAAAATTGTCCAGCAACACCGTTGCATACAAGTTTCATTTAAAAGTTTCAACGTGTAACAGGGCCTTAACATACCGCAATTTTTTTTAAGTATTCCCCTTATGAACAAAGATGTTTTTAAATAGATATAGTTATGCAAAAGGAGTGAATAAAGAACGAAGGTTGTGAGCATTTGACATACCGACTGGATTCAAAGAGGAAAATAAAGCAAAAAAAATCATAACTTAATTCCTCATCATCCTCATCGTGGTCATCATCACCCCATCATAGTCATCATCATCATCCGATATCATCATATCATAGTCATTATCATATCATCATCATCATTAATTAGATTTATTATCATCACCCCCATCAGTCATCATCATCATATTATCATCATCACTCCATCATCATCATCATCGTATCATTATCATCATCATCATTATCACCATCATCATCATAATTACCACACTACCACCATCATATCATCATCATATCATCATCATGTAATCAAATTTACCTCATGATCATTAATAATGTACTTGAGTTTATTCTCAAGCTCCTCCTTTTCACTGCAAGTTTTAGAACATTCATTTTGCAGCTCGCTCAACTTCACTTTGAAAGCCTCCAACTCTTCCAACTGTGTGGACTGTTTTTCGTAGTCTTCTTTTGCAACGCTGCCTTCTTTAATTGCCTCTAGTTCCTCTTCCATTCTTTCAAGATAAACGAGGTCGGGTTAAAGGTCAGGTTAAAGGACAGGTTAAAGGTCAAGTTAAAGGTTACGTTTAAGTTCAAGTTCTATTGGCCTACGCTACTCCATAATAAACATTATTGCAGGAGGTTATAAGAGAAAATATCTCGGAACGGAAGGTGGCGAATGTGAAGAGTTCTCTGAGTAGCTACTATCCCAGATGCACAAACCTAACTTATCACTTTGGTCTTGCCCAAGAAAAAAATATATAAATATTTTATATAAAGTTTCTTACTTCGTTTTTACATCTTCTGCTTCCTTAAGTTTTTGCTTCAGCATCTCGTTCTCATTTCTAAGAACCTCTACTTCACTCATTTCTTGTTTCAAAGTATGCACTTCTTTTCCAAGATTTTCAGCTTCTTCTGTTTTCTGCTCCAGGAACGTTTGAGCGTTTCCTAAAGCCTTTTCCATTTCTAGCTTGGCCTGAGCAATGTCTTGAAGTCTAGACCTGTTAAAAAGGACAATCATGAAGCAATATTTTTCTATCTTAAAGAAGATATTTCAAAGATTGAAACTTGGGGCTTTGGGCTCTAGGAATGAAAATTGAAGCTTTCTCGTTTGAAAACTTAAAATTATTTGTTTTTGAATCGTAATCATATTCGTGGAAGCACTTGCGTTTGAAAGTAAATACAGTGGGACCTCTTCTTATTCACCTCTATTTTACGGGCACCTCTATATTACGGACACCTCTATATAACAGACACCTCTATATTACGGACACCTCTATATTACGGACACCTCTATATAACAGACACCTCTATANACACCTCTATATAACAGACACCTCTATATTACGGACACCTCTATATTACGGACACCTCTATATAACAGACACCTCTATATTACGGACACCTCTATTTTACGGACACCTCTATATTACGGATACCTCTGTTTTACGGACACTTCTATATTACGGACAAATATTTTGGTCCCAGCAAAATCACCATTCATGGTTCCGCGCCACGTAGTTACCGTTGCTGTCCCACAATCTCAACGAATAATATCAGGATGGGAGTTCCAAAGGAAAAACTTTTGCAAGGTGATTAGTTTGCTATTGTCTGAAGGGGAACCATGAATACGTTCTTTGTTCCATAGACCCGACCTCCATATCAAGGACAATTCCCGTCGGTCGGCGTCCGTGATTATAGAGATTCAACTATAGATTTTAATAAGGAAAGGAAAGATGGAACACGCCAACAAAAGAGAAAAAAAAAACATCTAAGATAAGTAAACTGATATCATACTTGATCTTTTCATTTTCCTCTTGTAGTTCTTCTATCGTCGAATTCAAAGTTTCCTCGAGTGCCTGCCTGGCGTGTTCAGCGTCCTCATCTGAGCTTATTTCTTCATTCTTCTTGATTTGTTTTTCTCGCTCTGCTTCAAGCATCTCTTCTAGCTCCTCAACACGAGTTTGAAAGTTCTTTCTCTCCTAAGAAACGATAAAAGTCGACAACAATTATCATTATACATAATCACTACCTCGCTTCTTATTGGCCGAGAGCCCTCAGCCAATCCATGATATCTTGTGGACTCGACAGGACAAATCTATTATCCGGAAAAAAAAATTGCAGATAATAGATTTATCCTGTCAAGTTCACCCAAGGTCGCAGGAGAAATTGAAAACTGTTATTTTTTCTTAGACTATAAAGTGTATAATAAAGCATTTATTGAATTCGGTTTTCGCATGATATCGTAAATTATTAAGATCTAAGCCTACGGCTTCGGCAGATAACACAGCCTAGGTCTTGATAATTTACGATATCATGCTCAACCTCATCCAATGATTGTATAATATACGACGAGAAAGAGAGAGGAATACGCTGCTAATGCGCCACAATGCGTTCCGGGCTCGTAGTTCCCGGGCACTCATATGTATCTTGGAAAAAAGGAATATTGCGGAGGGTTTAGGTGCATACCTTGACCAGAATATCAATTCTCCTTTCTAGACCGTATTTCTCGTCTTCTTGAAGCTTGATGATGTCAGTGAAAGAAGATCCCTCCATCGAGGTACCGACAATCGTTCCTGCACTCGCTGCCATCTCTTCGCCGGCTTCTGGGCAACACAAACGAAAAATGGCATCAGTAACTAACGAAAATGCACCACAACTAACATTTCAGGAAATTGAAAGTAATGTCAGCCTTGGTTACTAAAAATGGCGGGAACTTCTTAAATTCCAAAATGATCGTGAAACGAGGTCTAAAAGTTTGTTAGAGGTTGCTAGTAAGTGCTACCCTTGCAAAACAAGGACGCTACTTCTGCATTAATGGTCGTCACTATTCGCATTAATGATTTGTTATGATTTATATACCGCTCTTGAAAGTCAACCATTTGTAAATGTAATTACAAAGGCAGCACTTTTTCCTCAGTTATTTTATGACCACGAGTGTTGGATAGGCCTCTAAAGCTTCAACCACGACCTCCCGCACAACAGTCAACCAACTGAGCCAACCGAGTGGCTGAGAATTGATGCTGTACAATAACAGTGACATTATTTATCAGCGTATTCAATACCAACCTTCATCCTGAGTTCCTTCTTCGACTCTCCCCGCTCCTTTTCCTTTATCAGTCGTCCAAATAAAATCATCTAAAGCTTGCTGCAACTCAGTTTTCTTCTCTTCCAAGCTTTCTTTCTCTTCCTCGATTTGTGCCATTTTAATCTGAAAAGACACTTTCTCTTCGCGTTCTCTCAGCAAGTATCCTTCCACCTCTGCAAGATTAGCTCTAAGACTTTCGTTCGTCTCTTTGAGCTCATTATATGTTTGTTCAAAGAATGCTTTCTCTTTGTCGAACATTGTCTCTTTTGCGTTCTGTTCGTTGACATTCCTCGTAAGGTCTTCGGCCGCCTTCGTTTTTTCTCGGATTTCTTCGTTCGCTCTGTCGAGTGCCTTCTTAATTTTATCGAGTTCCGAAGAAAGCAGCTCAATTTTCTCGTTTTGGGCAGAAGAGAATTGCTTTTCATCCTTTGAGAATTTATCTTCGTATTCAACGTTTTGAAGTTGCACAAGGCCTTTTTCTTCCTCAGCATCGACTACTTTTAGTGTGAGAGATTTCTTTTCTTCTTCAAGCATAGCACATCTTTCTTTAAGTTCATTCAAGCTCTTCTCTCTTTCTTGTAGAGACGTTTTCACCTCTTCAAACTCAACAAGCTTCAACTGCAGATTACCCTTCTCTTCCTCAAGATCTGCTATTTGTTCACGTAGCTTACTACTCTCGCTTGCTCCTGGCTTTTTCTTTCTAAGTGTCTCTAACTCCTTTGAAATTTTTGCATTTTCCTTTTCCAAGTTAGATAACTTAGATTTTAATTGTCCTTTGGATTTTAACATCTTTGCTGTCGCTTCTTTAGCTTCTTTATTTTTCAGTTCCACATCTCGCCTTGCTGTCTCCAAATCCTTCGCCAGTCGTTCTTTCTCCTTCTTGATACGATTCAACTCATCCTGGCCATCTTTTCCTGTTGTTTTTAAACCTTCTCTCAACTGATTTCGCTCTGCCACGACTCGGTCAAGCTCTACTTGTAGTTCTTTTATACTTTCTTTAAAGCTACGTTTCTCGTCGAGGAACTGTCTTTCCTTTTCTGTATCCAGAAGCAAAAGTCTTTCGTTTGAAACGTCTTTACTCTGACTGTCTTTGTTTTGGAGTTCTAGCTGCAACGCTGAAATTCTTTTTTCCTTATCTACAATATTAGCATCTTTTTCCTTTAGAAGAATATCCTTTTCGTTCATCTCTGCCTCGTGTTTTTCTTTGCTATCGTTCAGCTCTTTCAGCAGACTATTTATCTTATCAGTTAGCTCCTTTTCTCTCAATCCCCAATCGTCCTTCAGAAGGTCAATCTCTTTTGTCAACTCTTTCACACTTTGTTCAAAAAATTCTGCAGACTTGGAGGATTCTCCCGCGCGATTTTTCTCCTCTGCGATTAAGCTCTGTAGTCGAGTGATTATTTGCTCTTTCTCGTTGATTTTTTCTTCTAAAAGATTTACCAATTTCTCGTTCTCGGGGCTGGTAGATTTGGTCGGTGATTCACCACTGAAGTTCTTTTCCTGTAGAGCCATCTTCATCACAGCAACTGCTTCATCCTTGGCCTTAATAAATAAAGGAATCAGATATAAGAGAATGAACCGAGAAAATAAATTGGCACGGACAGACAGGCTGTCAGACAGACACTTTGGATGACAGACAAACAGACAATCACCCAGGATACACAAAGGATAACAGAAAGACAGACTTCCAGACACAGGCTGACAGACATACTGACAGACTTTCAGACACAAGGGCTGACAGTCAAACAGACCATCAGACACACAGTCTGACAGACAAATAGACTGACTGACAGGCAAACAAAGTCAATAAGAAGAGAAACAAAGATGCACGACGCAACCAGTCAGAAATTCTCACCTGTATAATACTGGACTTCTCATCAAGTTGTTCTTTCAACATGTGCTCTGTTTCCTTGTAAGACCTCTCAATCTCTGCAATCTCTGCAGCTAGTTTATGTTCCTTGGCCTGTATCTGGTCTTGTAGCATTCTGACTGTCCCTTGGTGGTCAGCTTCTTGCTGTTCTAATTGCTGCTTTAAAACCAAATTCTCACGTTCAATCTGAAAGAATATCACAGTACATTTAGAAGGTTACTGGTACACTGTACACTACAGAGGTTTTGCACCATCACGTGACGACAGCCATGTTAGATGGCAGGAACAATACAATCGTTTTACATGTTGAGAAACAATTCAATTCCCAAAAGCAAAGAGATTTTATTGTTTTTGCAATGGATCAAACCACAGGCAGTCCAAGCTGTATTATGGGTACCAGGACTTGATGGTACAAAACCTCAACACTATAAAAAACATTCAAATGTTATTGATGCCCTGATACAATAAAATTGAATATGAAATAAACAAATTTCATTAAAAATTTTCATTGATTCAATAATAAATGCCTTGGTTTATATTATTGTGAATTACCAACCTTTTCTTTGGCTTCTACTGCTTCCTTCTGAGAATCAATTTCTTTCTGTAAAGTTTTTGTTGTTCTTTTATGTCGTTCACATTCTTCCACAAGATTCTCAATTTTACTGCTCATGGCACCAATCTGCAGTAAACACCATGAAATTTATAATTACACGCTGAAATAAAGACTGCATTTATCACAGTCATTAACAATGAATTTATACAAGAGTTTTGATGTGAGGATTTCAAGAAGCATACAGTGGTAGGTCTCTCACCACTCTTGTTTGTGGCCACTGGTTTTGTTGAGGGAAGAAAACTGGAGAACCTGGAGAAAAACCCTGAAATCAAGGGAGAGACCTAACAAACTCTACTCACATGTGATGCTGAGTCCAGGGATCATACCCAATTTAGACCCAGGAGAAAAACCCTCGAATCAAGGGAGAGACCTAACAAACTCTACTTACATGTGAAGCTGAGTACAGGGATCAATTTAGAGGTGACAAAGGTGAAAGGCGAGTGCACTTCCCCTGAGCCATCCTTGATTTCCAATTGACCTAACATTAATAGCAATAAATAAATTCACTCATTGTAAACATTATTAAGTGCTGTACTAGCCTGCTCTCTCAGGACAGAAACCATCTCATCAGAACCTCCCTGAATGTCTTTCATTGACTGCATGTGCTCAATCACTTCATCTCTACTGGATATCAAGCGTTTCTGTGCTTCCATTTTATCCATTAATTCTTGTATTGTTCTACTCCTTTCCTCAACCAGATGGTTTACTTCTTCTTGCTTCAGTTTTAACTGCTGAATTTCCATTATTTTGGTAGCTATATCTCCCATACATTTCTCTTCATTCTGTCTCCCTTCAATTTCAAGTTCTTTCTCTCTCTTTTGACTGACTTCAAGTTGGTGAGAAAGTGTTTGAATGACGTTGTCTTTTTCAGCCAACAAAGTGCTCAGCTCTGTAGATTTTTGCTTAGAACCATGAGCTGGTGAAGGTGGCTGCAGCATTGGAATAAAATGTTAGTGAAAAACAAATCTACAGTACTTACTAACATACGATTGGGTTTAACTCCGACGAAGGGTCAACATCCAAAATGTCAATTGATATAGTTGCAAATTCTTTTTTGCGGTGGTTAAGATTCCTATGTATTAGGTCACAAAATTAAAAAAACTCGAGCAAAACAAAAAATCATTAAGCCCTTGGAAATGAAATATGAAATTTGTATTGTCCTTTTTAAGCTCTTGGAAATAAAATATGAAACATGTATTGTCAAAGCTAAAGTATATCCACACAAATTACATGTGTGTTAATATAATTATGTAATAAATTATAATTCATTTATTTTATTACATTTTTTCTTACCATTTTTGCACCTCCAGATTTCAACTGTTCTTCTAGTTGACTAATTTTTGTTTTGGCATTAGCTTTGAGCTTGTTAAATTTTTGTTCAAATGAGGCTTTTGAGTTCTGAAACAAAATATCATGCACTTATTATATACTGCACAAAATATAAGATAAGATAAGATAAGACTGTGCCAGTTTTTGTTTGGTTCACTAGCAGAAGCTTGTGAAAAAATTGGCTAATAATGAGAAATTTTATTCTCACACTCAAGTCATATAATGTACCGTTTTCCTTCAAAATGACATGAACTGAAAAAATCTTTAGAGATATGGCATTTCGGATTATTCGCTTTCTAGAAAATGTAGTTTTTGTTACTCAATGCCTATTTTCATTTTTCAATGTTTTTGTCCAAAATACTGTGAAATGACCCGTTAATAATATATTTATCAAAATGTCAATCTCTCTCATTTAAGTGTGTGTGTATGGGAAGGAAGGAAAGGAAGGGATGTGAAGGGAAGGAAAGGGAAGTAAAAGAAAGGCAAAAAAGAGTAAAGGAAAGGTGAAGAGAAGGGATCGAAGCAAAGAGAAGAGAAAGCAGAGCATTTCTTTTTCGAATTCATAATGAAATATATATGGATGTGTAAATAAATATTTCAAAGAGCTAAATTAACCTATTTATATGTACCTCCAGCTCATGTTCCTTTTCTTTTAGTTGCTGTCTTAGGATCCCAATAGTTTTCTGTAATTCTTCAGAGCTTGTGTCTGACACTTCCCTGTGGACACTTGCTTCAGCTCCTTCTCCTTTTAATTTTACAATTTCTTCCTGTAAGACAGGGAGATAAATTTAAAAATTCATGATTGTATAAAACACAGAATATTTCTGTGCCTGTATTAGCTGCATACCTTGCCAACACCTGGTTGGCTCAGTTGGCTGAGTATTGGACTGCAGTACAAGGAGGTCGTGGTTTAATCCTTATTCAGATCAACACTCAGGGTTTTACAATACCTAAGTAGAAAATGCTGCCTTTGTATTTATATCTGAAAATGGTTAGACCTTAAAATGGATTGAATGAACCACTTTAAATCCAGTCCAAACATCATTATCACTTATCAGCGGGACATGAAAGAACCACTGCACGAAGACGTAAAGACACCCATGCAGTGAGAACTTTGAGCATCTACACTGTACCACATACGACCTTACTAACTATCTTTTCATGATCATAAAGTCTTTGAGCATTTACATTGAAGGGTACTACATAAATTATAAATCAAATCATGATCATGCCATCTTTACAATAAAACAAATCCACTATATGTCTAGCTAAAAAAAAAATAGTGAGTGCTTATGCCACTACCTAAGTGGGCTTTATTACTGAATGGAGCACAGAAAAAGCTGTTTTATTTCTTTCATTACGTATAGTTACTAATTTTATTTTTGGTATTGAATTTATTTATGCAAAAAGAAAGATCATCACAGGATCTACATGTAGCAGCACTTGCGCATTCAGATGTAGCCAGCACTGTGCTCCATTCACTAATAAAGCACAATTTTCGACCAATCAACACACATGTACTATCTTTACTTATATATAATAAAATTGAAATAATACATGCAGCAGTCTTAAAATTTTAATTATACAAAGTCGATATGGATAATTTTATCAATAAAATTCAGTCCCATAGAGTTACATATCAAACAAAGGTTGTTTATGGTGATTTATTCGCCTATCATTCCAAGTTAGAATCCTATAACTAACTCCTACCCAGCTATCAGACATCAAAACTTGCCTCCTTCAGACGAAGTAGTTTCTGGAACTCATGATTAATATCTTCATTGCGCTTCTCGGACTCTACCAACGCCTTCCTTAGATCCGATATTATCTCCTCTGAGCTCTGTACCGTAGAAATTCGAAAACACGTGAATAAACATACGAATAAATAACTCGAGAAGAACAATTTTTGATGATGAAAGTTTGTGCTGACTGACCTGTGGCTGTGCAGAAACAGCGCCAGTTTGATCCTGATCATCACCAAAACTCTCCTCAAGCTTGTCTGTGACTATCTGCGCCACAGAGCTAAGCCTGCCCCACATCGTGAGGAGTTTTCGGGTAGATTACTGGTTATTTTGTGGTGTAAATACTGTTGTTTTCTCATCAGCTGTCCGCCATGTTTGATTCATTCGAGCAATAATCGAACACGTCAGCCTGCCTGCCTGGATGCTCAGCAAATACTATCTACACAGGGAGCCCAAGCTCAAAATTTACTGGCGTAGCCTTGCTCAACGTCAACGACTGGCAAAGTATCATATCTTGACTATACTGTATCCTCTGCTTAACAGATTTCAATTTGACGAGTTTGTCTTTCCTCGGCAAAGAATACAACGTACTTTCTTACAGGTGGCACATAGAAAAATTGCTCACGACTGGGACTGCCCGGCACACGGATTAAATCGATTTGGCCATAAACTTCAAAATTAATAGTATTCTGAATTATAATTTCTCTGCTCTTAACTCCAACTTAACAAAGAATGCCATCACAGTTAAATTTTATTTGACATAATACAACGTTTACAGGTTTTACAATCAAGGTTCTCGCGATTAACAAAAGTCACCGATATTTTTTTGCTGAGGAAGGAAAACCTGTACAATATTTAAAACCCTCGAACAAGCACAGGAGAACCAGGCGAAACAAATAAAACACACGCTTTCAGTTTATATTAATGTTTTTTTAATCGTTTCCAAGCATTATTAGAGAGTTCTAGATTTACGTTCACGGCAAACGTAACGTCAGTTGACCAGTAAAAAAATCTTTTAAATTACTGAAAAAGAAGCGCAAAAAATCCAAGTAGTAAAAAAACGAAAGAGTATTTGCGCTTGGTGAGAAGGTTTGTAAAAGGTAAAGTAAAATAAAGGAAAACTATGAAAACGTGGTCACGTTTTTCAGTTTGCGGGGAGAAAAAAAGTCAATCTAAAACTCTCTATTATATATACGTTATGCAGTACTTCTAATGTCATTCACATTGTGCATCGTTTATTGTTTATTATATGCACACGTGGTTTCCCAGCGTATAATGTATGGTCTGTTGAGTACAGTGTCGAATGTATAGGATGGAGAATATCTATAGCTTGTATAAACATGGTACCGCATCACCGCCCCGACTTTGACTGGTTCGACTAATCTTCAGTAAATATAACAATCCATTCACCATTGTACGCTCTAAAATTTATCGTTGGAACTAAAAAGAATATACATACATATACAGGGCCGTAGCCACCGGTACTCGAAACCGGACCAACTTTCGGGGGGAAAATATATGAATTTTTTTTTTAGAATGTAAGAAAAACCGAAAGCCCTAGAAAACCGGACCAATCAGAAATTTGTGGCTACGGCCCTGATATATATTTTTTAATTGGCGCGATGCTTGCAAATTGTTTAAAGCCAAGAGTAAACAAAGCGTAATAGCTTTTGTCGGTAGAAGCACTTAAGGAACAAAAAAAGTTATAAAACATGTTTTTTCTTGAAAATAAGGCCAAGATTTATAGTGTTTCTTCAAAAGCTTTTTTCAACCGTTCTTGGTCAATCTAGCTGTCAATTTATCGAAGCTTTATCCAGTCATCTGCTGATATATAATAAGGGTCTATACCGAGGTGCGATACAAAATACACAGGTACGTAACCCAGTGAGAGAAGAAAAGTGTCTACTTGCTGGTAACAAGCTCGAGGCGAATGACAGACAGCAGGTCCAATTGTTTATGGAACAAAGCTTTAAATACGTCATTCATTATTCAAAATATTTTTTTCTCGAGTCAAAACTTTTGATAAATTAGGGAGTCTATATATATTCAGATGTATCTATCTTATCAATATCAAAACAAGATTGATACTATAGTAGTTTGAACACTCCTTGGCCCGCAGTGCCGCACGGAAATCGCGAGAGCTGAAGAAGAAGAAGTAACAATGTTATCAGTTCACAGAAAATATATCTAAAAGAACTGAACCCCAAGTGGTTTAATATGAGCAGGACTACACTATCTTTCAAGCTTTTCTTTGTTCTTACATTGGTCGTATTTCTTGTTTATGTTTTTGCTCAAAATGATATCGCCGAAGCAAAACGACTCAACGCAAACATGGTTAATAAAAACATCTTACGGCAGTTAGAAAGAAATGATTACAAATATAAAGATAATATCGATGTTTTGAATTTGAGTAAAAAGACATTGATGGCCAAACAAGTAAATGCTCGCATTAGGAAACACATTTCAACGAGCGAAATCACTGGAGGCAAAAATGATGAAAAGTTGCATATCGCAAAAAGACAGGTAAGTGTTTGAATTCTTGAAGCAATTCGCCATGTAACTGTTTTAAAATAGCCGTTTAAGCTTCTTGTTTGAAGACTGCTATCATTTTATATCACGATTACAATGGGAACAATGGGAGCACAGACAAAAGGAAGGTCGATGGCATGGTCGGCAAAAGAAAGAGAGGTGATCTTCCATCTTCGTCAAATATATTGCTCTTAAAATGACTTGCATTTCCATAGCACTTTTAATTCTAGTTATATAAAAGTAGATGACTTGGCCTTGACTGGTGTAGAAATTAGGTTTAGTAAAGTGAGGAGGATCGCAACTAGTCTATAGAATTTTTCAATTCATTTTTTTTATCAAATTGCATACAATCAGACCTATTAACCATTTTATCAGTTCACGTTGCTTGGTTTCCAGATATATATAGCTGACGGCTGTTATTCATTTTTGTTTTTCGTAACTCTCTTAGCTCACTGTGTGGAAGCCTTTCAAAACGTAAACCTCCGCTTGAGACCTTTTCTCTCGTCAAATAAAGATTTTTATATTGCGGTTTTTGTATTGTATTATTTTGTATCTCCTCCATGCATCAACTATCAGGCAAAAAAAATATTTTCAATTCATGAAAAAATATATAATTATAGTCTAATTTATCTCTTTAGTATTTTCCTTTACTCAAGAATGTTTAAAATGTATAGAGCAGGACCCATTTACCCGGGCAATTTTCTGCTGCGCTTTAACTCAGAAGATGCATGCGCGATTTTTGAAAATATAATAAATTTTGTCTTATGCTTCCAATTGAATATCTGTAGATTGATATTGAGTCTGTCCAGTTAATCTTGGTATTCAGCAGAAGGAAACTTTACAAGTTGAACTGATTTTTTACCATTTTTGACTTTGACCAAAGTCGCCGCGCGCAAGTAGCGCACTTCAAATAATCGCTGCAAAAATTCGCCTGAGTAAAATAACCTTAATATGTGTTCCCTCGTTGCGCGCATCCGTTCATCGCAACAGTTATAACATGTGCACTAACATTTTGTTTAATGATTCCAGATAATAGCCCCTGGATATTACGAAGCTGAGTGCTCAGAAAAGAAACCTTGTAAAGAAGGAAAATATTGCAATCTTCTGTACTGCGAAGATTGCCACAAAGAAAAGATGGCTTGCGCACGCGAAAAACAGTGCTGCAAAGGAATGGAATGTACGTTTGGTCGCTGCGAGAAAAAATCAAAAGGAGATCCAGGGACGTTTTGTGAGAAAGATTCAGATTGTAAGTCAGATTCGTGCTGCGTCCTTGAGCCAACAGTTAATACATTGCTGCCAATATGCAAGCCCAAACTCGCCGAATACCATCAATGTGCTTCAGTGTTGTACAGGAAAGTTTGGATTGGAGAGAAACCTGACTGCGGTCCTTGTAAGCAGGGACTCGAGTGCGCACAAAAAGGGTAAGAATTTACTGAAATAATGAATAGTAACTTGAAGGTCGTTTTAAAGTCTTGAAGATATTGCGTCGGCTTACGTGAGTATAGCGCTGCCGACTTTTAATCAACTCATGACCAGGAGGCCAGGGGTATCTCTGTGTTTTGCTTCCAATTTAAACAGGAACTTCGCAGGACCTTTTAGGAATTTTCACATGGTATTAATGTCATTTTGCTTTTATTCTTTTCTTAGGATTCTTGCAAGTCATCAAGTCTGTATGAAACCAAAGAAATAGCGCGCGAAGAATCGATAACCACTACGTACTATATCAGTAAGAAGGTCTTTAGTTGGACATGATTGTTCCCTATCGAACCTTCAAGATATCTTGAGACAACTTAACTCATCCTCAGAACCTGCTGCGTTCTCCATTGACAACGCTTGCGTTCCTCGACCTCTATACTGACAAGATGGATCGCAGGGTCTGAGGACGATACCTATACCAAAGAGTCTTCTGCCGTCCCTGCTTTCTTGGCCATAGCACCAACGGCATTGACCAAAAAGCAGGAGCATGACACATGAATAACCATAAAAAATAACCATGAATGTGCATCACTGACATAGCTCTATAGTTATTTAGTATACGGTTTGCAAGATCTATGACTAAAATTTATTGTATTGATGGTTTTCAACCATTTCCAAGAAAATTAAATAACGAAAGACACGGCGGCCATGTAGGAGGATATAACAAAAGAATTCATTGAGAATTGTTTTGTTAAGTTCCTCCAACATGGCCGACGTGAAAACCATCAATTGACCGATATCTTGTTCGTGGGTTCGTTCTTCTGTAGTGGAATTCATCATATTTTTTTCCGAGTTTCATTGTACAATTCAACTCCATTTATGTTTATTCTACATATATATTTTGCTTATGTTCTAATAAAAATAAAGACGGCATAAAACTATTTAGTTCTTAGGTTTCTAATATTATAATAAATTCAACAAAATTACTCGATTCTGATAGGAACAAGAGGAGTGCAACTTAATTCCAAATTTTACTCTTTAGAGTCCATATTAAGTAGCTCAATTTTGTTGAGTGTATATTATAAACAAAAAATCGCACTATCTTCTCGTACAATTCGGAGTTTAAATACTCGTGGTGAAAGTTCTCAAATTGGACTCGATCGCCTGAATGCCTAGTCTCCCCCACAGTCGCTTTCAGTGTCGTCACGCAACGTTTTCTCCCCGAGTAGCTACCACTCAGGGGACTGAAGCGTACTAAAGGCGTCTCGTCCAATTTTGAAAACTTTCAAAACATCACAGCACTCGTACCTATAAAATTTCGAATTGTACTCGAGATCGTGCGATTTCCAATACTAACTTAATATTTTTTTGGCAATGTCAGCATATTTTCGCCAGCCATATTATGCCCTAAATCAAGTCTGTACACAATTTTTTACATGTGAAAACCAGACTGAAGAATATCAACCTCTTTACAATAAATTACTATTTTTATTGAAGACATTGAGCTAACTGTATATATTTGGCATTATGTCGACAGGCATGGAAAAAGCGGGCGGTCAAAGTTGACTAAACCAATTGCATGAGAGGGGGTATTTCAATGTTTTTTTCCCCTAACATTTTTCAAGTCTTTTTATTTCCCTTTCTTGCGTAAATATTAAATCTAAAAGTTCACATAAAGCAAGGTTTTTTTAAAAACTGTACGTTCCTAGCAAACTAGACTTGACCGGCGGCAAGCCTCACTCCACAGACTGATTACAAGCCGCAGCACTACAGTAGATGCGACCAGCTGAAGTTGAAAAAAATTCAAATTTTTAGGTCCAATTTCTCAACATGACTGTTTAGACATATAGAAATGCGTCATGGGGAGTTCATTCATATTTAGAATATACGTCAAAAAATATTTTGAATTTTAGCTTTGTTACGGGGGCAAAGCTTGTTTTAAAATCAAGCATTTGCATAGCTAAATGAAACAAATAGAATGAACCAATTCGCTTCACTGATATGAGGGACTAAAGAAACGTATCCAGAATTTCTTATTTTATAGTTTAAAAAAAAAAGTATATGTTGAAAGTCTCGATCCAGGTGGGCGAGTTTGAAACATGCGACGAGACATTCGGACAGCGTTCGGGTTTTGATTTTCAATTGCTTCGAGTCGCTTCGAGTGGTTCGTAAATAACTCGGTTGTATTCGGTCGTGACAGCGGATTCCCTTGATTAACCAACCTTCGTTCCCTTCAGGTATTTATGGCAGGTCGAGGTTCATATCGAATTACTCCTACTGGAATAACACCAAGGAATAACATGGCGGCGTATGGTGGTGGTGATTATTACGCAGGATATCCACCGTCACAACAACAGCCTTCAGCTCCGATAGGATTTGAGCTTCATTCACACAGCAATCAGCCTCCATCTTCAGCTTATCCTCCAAGAGATGACTTGTATAGACCACCACAACAACACTACCCTCCTTCTCAATATCCACCTCCTTCAGGGCAACAACCTTCTGGTCAAGACTACAGCCATGGAGGTCCTTCACGCCCTGTATCTTCCCCTAACCTCCCTCCTGTAGGGTTCGAAGGTGAGATACTGTCTTCTGGCGAGAGTAGGATTCGTCCTTCATCTCAAGACACTAGTGATGGTGCTAGCAGACCGACATATCGTGTTAAAGAAGTAAGTTTAAGTATTCGTTTGTTTTCCTTGTAAAATATCATTACACGCTGTCTGTCATATTTCGATGATATAAGTCTTAAGCTTAACTTCAAAATAACGGTTCAAAGCAAGTCCGAGCAAAAGAGCAAAAGGCGGTCATTTTGAAACCAAGATCTTATAAGTACTGTACGTTGTAATCATTTATCACGAAGTCATTAAGGATTAACTTCGTTTTGGCTTGAAAAATAAAGTTTTTTACTCTAAAGCAATCGGTTTGAAGAATTGCTTTTATTCTAGTTCAGCTAATAGAAGAAGAAGCTACTGGTGTAAGGCAGGAAATAGAAATAACGTGATTAGAAATGCAATTATCTCTCGATAACAAATACTGTAATATTGATGCCTTTTTGCTGAAACCTATTAAAAATTAATGAACTTCTTAATTTTAATTAACGAGTTTATGCCTTGAAGCCACAACCTGTACTTGTATGTCTGCTGAAACATGCTGAAATGGTACTAAAAGTAAGCTAGTAAAATTTGTGTTTAAACTTGTTTTATAATATACATTCAGTATATATACTAGTAAAGCTTAAATAAATATGCCATACATTTTTAACAAATTGACAAATCCTATAAGATTATGCTCGAGTACAGCTGTACATATTTGTTCGGTACAAAAAAAAAGGTGGAAATGATGGTGACAACGCAGTTATATGCAATTACTTCAATAAATAATCTTGTGGAATGAATAACATGGTGATGACATTTTCTTTGATAAATGTACAGCTTTTGATCTTCTAGTCATATAATATTGACAATCGATTGCTCCAATTTCCTTGTGAGATTTGCATACAGCTATAATTTCATTACTGTATTTTTGAAAGAATTGTCTTATGAATATTGAAAATTCATAGTTAAGTCCAGCTTGTGTTTTCAAGCTAATGAAAGATTTTAAAGGCAAAACCTAGCTAGACCAGTTCTACTTCAATTTTGCAATCCAGCGGCACATTAAAACTGCAAAAAAAAGCAAAAATTGAAATGGGATTGAAAACTCTTTGTCCACCTGTTTACCTGTTTATAGCTAGTCCAAAAGTCAAAGTTTCAATAGACCCATGTGAAAACTGTAAAACATTTTAATTTAATGTGTCTACTCCACATTAAAGCTTTAAGAGACTTAAAAGTGAAATAAGTAAAAAAAATTCTTACTTGGGAAGGAATTGTATGAAAACGCTTTTCAGAACTCATACTTTATCATTTTGGAAACATGGGGTGTTTCCTCCTAATATGTCTTTTTACTCTAACTTGAATTTACATATTGATTTTATAATACACACTTCTTGTATTAAGTCAGACATATTTAATTTTACTTTGGGTTTGACTTCAATAATTTGAGTGTTTTCCAGGCTTACTGGTTTTCCTTCCCCGACAAAAACCCAATGAAAACTCTAAATTCCAATTTGATTTATGAGTGTTACCAGAATGCCCTGAATTGCATCATCCCGGAGCTTTCTCTTCTAACAGTCTCCTTTTTTTTTTTTGCTGGATCGGCATTGCAAGGAAAAGGAGCCCATTATTCCCAATGCCACCAGCTACTACCTCCCCTGTTTCCCATGTGTGAGCATTAACTAGGCAACTGATAGCATTGGGAATAGTAGGCTCATTGATAGTCAGCATTTATCGTGAAAGGAAATCCTTCTTTTGGTTATCAGTCTTCTGTAAAATATATTTATAGATAAATGTATATTCCCTCATCCCTGGAGAGGTTTGTCATTTATTTAAAACTATTTTTTAATATCAACTTCTGGTCATTGTGCAGCTAATCTGGGTAAATGCAAGAAACATCAGATACTTGTTTACAAAGAAAAAATCTTTTCACCTTCCATCACCATATGTAAGATGAGAATCTTCTGTGAGTCATAAGTTATCAAGCTTTCTTTCTTTTTTCTTTCCTTCTCTTCTTTATTTCTTTGTTTTTATCTTTTTGATTTCTTTCCTTCCTTTTCTTTCTTTCTTTCTTTCTTTTTGTCTGTCTGTCTTTTTGTCTGTCTATCTGTCTGTCAGACTGTCTGTCATACTATCTGTCTGTCAGACTGTCTGTCATACTATCTGTCTGTCAGACTATCTGTCTGTCAGACTATTTGTCTGTCTGTCTATCTGTCTGTCTATCTGTCTGTCAGACTATCTGTTTGTCTTTCTGTCTGTCTATCTGTCTGTCAGACTATCTGTCTTTCTGTATTATGTCTGTCTGTCTGTCTTATGGTTAATTTCTAGAACTACAATACTAATTCATTAACTGTATTTGCACTGCTTGCATTCTTCAACAGACTGTTTTTGGAGGGCGAAGCTCTGTATGTAATTTCCTGACTTTTATTTCATCATCATCATCATCATCATCATCATCATAAAAATTGAATTACATCATCATTTTTATTACATGTGTATCATATATAGCAAGGGCCGATCCAGGGGGCAAAGAGGGGCTGCAGCCCCCCATTCAGCAGAAAAAAACGATGCTTTTTTATATTGTTTTTTGTTGTGTTGACGGAAGAAACTCAATTAGCCCCCCCCCCTAAACTCAATTAGCCACCCCCCCTAAAAGTTTGGCTGGATCTGCCCTTGTATAGCTCAATAATTTTTTGATCATCCCTGTGCATAAATCTTTAATACAAAAATAGGTAAACAATGATTAAGTGCAGACCATTTTGACAAATAAACTTTATCCCTTTACTTTGTTGAGTTATCCAATTGATTCTGGTTGGAGATTTCAACCAATAAAACGAATTGCATTGTTAGCCCACCTATATACCTAGTTTAAACATAGTGCAATTATCAGGGATTGCCCATCTAGTAAATTATTACTAATATCAAGGTACTCTTTTCATTTCTGATGTTCATTTTGACACAACTTCTCCTCTTAAGAGAAGTATAGTCACATAGCCAACTGTTGCAGAAGGCCTATTATGGTGATGTGTCCTCCCTGGATTCAATTCACAAGTTGACGAGCTAGGGCTTACTTTCCTAAATATATTTCATACACACAACACAATGCTTGGGACATAATGCATTTTTCAGTTCTATTTATTATTAACAAAAAAACATCTATATTGAGGTATAAAAAAAACTTTTAATCAAACCAGCTAGAAATTCATTTTATTTAATGGTTCATCATATATTTAATACATAAATTTCCTTTGAATTCTTTCAATAGCAAACAAGACATACTGAAACTCTATTCTTTAAGACAGACCCCGCAAAGAGAATAGGTAAGTTGTATAAATAAATGTTTGAGAGACATAGGCAATGAATAGAACTACTAAGGGGCGCTACTATGTTATATTAACCACCCCAATAATTATCAAATTGCAAAACACACTTTCAAATCAGCCTCTCTTGGTACTGGAAGACAATAATTAGATTTTTGGGTACAGTATGTCATACTCAGCCCTTGGCAAAGCCAGAATCCTGTTTGATAAATAATAGATAATAATAATAATGATATATTAGAATTACAATGATAATAATATAATTCACTTTTTATTGAATTGCCGGAAAGTCCTGGGGACCAAGTGAACATTTTACAAATTCAGGGCTCAAAATAGCGGCCTGCCAATGGCCAAATGACAGGCCAAATTTCAGGTTTGGCAGGCAAAAATAATGATGGGCTGCAAAATGAATAACAAAACAGCATGCAAATTTTACTGAAATGACCTCCTTTTACCATGCATACCTTTGCTATGGCAGGCTAATAAAAATTCCTATTTCGAGCCCTGCAAATTACTAAGCTATTAAGCTGAAGAATTTTGCTTAATATTCACCTACCTGGGCATTCAATCCCCGGCCCAGCCCAACTGTATTTTTTTAAATTCATAATTTGATTTTTTTTTAAATATTTTGCAGATTATGTCCTTGCTTATGAGATTAACACAGCCAAACCTTATGAATGGCAGCAAAAACGTGAGGAAAAACGGAAAGCATTTGAAAAAAGTTTGATAGACTTTGGACTCAAATTAGAGAAAGTTGGCGAGGAGGTTAGTAAATTAGAACTTAGTATATACAAAAATAACTTAAAAGCTAATCAAAGAACTGAAATAAAAAACAATATCTTGAGAGAGGTTTTAGACTGAATCTTAATCTTTAAAGAGATTTTAAAGGTCTAGACCGTTAAAATCTTTAATTACTCGGGCTTTTTCCGAAGGAAACGGCCGAGTTATAAATTGGGCTTTGTTTTTTGTGTGCAGTCACAAATCGCTGTTGTGTTCACAGCGCATGCGTTGATTCTATGTAGTGCGCATGCGTGGTAGTATGCGCCATAAAAGCATGGGCCGACGACTAATGGCGGATTGTCTCAAGGTGTCTCATTGCTGACTGCGAACACTATGGAGTCTATGGAGTTTCACGGTTAAAGAGAAAGCCCGAGTTCACGCAGTCATGCATCTAGTTTAAATTAAAATTTCCCTTAAGATATTTTTTTAAAATTTCAGTTCTTTTTTCATTCAACCGTCGTCAAAATGGTTGTCAGCAAACAAGTCATTGAACTTCACAGGTCACACTTCAATGATAATGGTAGTAATTGGTATTTAGATGGTGGTCTTCTTTAATTTTAATGTTCTTGAATATACAGGAGTCTAGCAATGGAAGGACAGCATTCGTAAAAGTTCATGCTCCATGGAAAGTGTTGGCAAAGATAGCTGAGGAAATGATGATGAAGATGCCTATTAGTGTAAGTGGATATTATTAATTTCTGTTATCAATTGGTAAAAAGTATTTTTAAACATAAACTTAAAATAATTATTATCATTTTCATAGCTCAATGACATGGATACATCTGATTGGACAGAGAGATGTTTTGACTGCATTGGAATTCGGAATCCTTTTGAGCTCCGCAATGAGGATCTTCCAGAAGAAAGGAATTACTTTACTGGTGCATTCAGACAAGACAAAATGAGCAAGTTCCTTATTGAAGATAGGGATACATTCTTTTCACAAGCTCAGCGGGGAAGAATTGTAAGAAAATTGAAAATAATAAGTCATGTTAATTTACAATGTAGACAGACAGATGGATGGACGGACAATCAGACTGATGAACTGGACAGACAAACAGGCAGACAGACAGACAGACACAGACAGACAGACAGACACAGACAAGCAGACAGACAGACAGACACAGACAGACAGACAAGCAGACAGACAGACAAAGCAGACAGACAGACACAGACAAAGACAGACACTCAGACAGACAGCCAGACACATGCACACACAGATAGGCCCAGACACTGACAGTCAGACAGACAGGACAGGACCTGGACAGACTTTGTAACTGGAGTTAAAATTGCACATCATATTGTACATAAGACTTAAGATCCAAGCAAAGTTAAGTGATCATTAACTACAGCCATACATACATTACAGTGCAGACACACTATCAAGATCTCTTCGACATCATTTAAAATTTTATTAGTACTTATTAAAATTTGTGAAATGTTTATCAATAGGTGTACACACTCTTGCAAAGAGCAAAATATGGCAGCAACAAAACAACTCAAGTTGGTAAGAAAAAAAGGATCATGCACAGTATAAATAATAATAAATAATATTATCCAGGGCTTAAAATATTGTCCAGTCATTTCCAATGTCCAGCCAGAATTGGAACTCGTCCTGTCAAATCTTTGCCTTGCCAGTCATTTTGACCAGTAACAATATTGAGACAGAAATGATGTATGACCAAGTTTAGGACTAATTTTGCTGGTCATTATTACCCTGTACTCTTTCTCTCACTTAGATGCAGAAGTTGAAACACTGATTATTAATGACTAGTGGGTTTGTTAAATACAACTAGTGAATACACCAAATTGAAATATGGTGACCAATTTGAATAACTATTGTTCTGCATTGACTAGCTACTGACTAGCCTCTCATACCTGTGAAAACACTTTTATGTTTCCTCATTAACACAAGGCTAGTCAGCCACTAGTCAGTGCAGAAAATTTTTTATTCAAATTGGTTACTAATATTTCGGGGGAAATGTAAACATGTGAGAAAAAGTTTGGGACTGTATTAGAATTACGGTATTTATTCACCTCCATTTACTCCTTTGTCAGAGTATTTAAGGAAGGACTAATGTCTGAAACATTAGTTTACAGTTCCAAACTTTTGTAACAAGTTGAAGTCACTGCAGATGGAGCCTTCTCAAAAGCATCAGGATGTGAGGCTAACATGAAAATACAAAAGAAATCACACTCTTTCTCATTATTAGCCTCGCATTTAAGACAATTCTAAGACAGGTGCATTGAACCACGTACTAGAGGCAAAGGATGCTGCTCTGACTAGCAAAAAGAGCTAAACTTGCTACTAACTGTACATGAAACTTTAAACCTCACATTGAATTGTTTCTTTAATTTATTTGCAGGTATTGAGAGACTAATTGCCAATGGTACCTATGCTGCAGCATATCCATTACATGAGGTATATTTTAAGCCGTTACAAAATAATATAATATATTAATAATAATAATAATAATAATAATATAAATAATTGTTTCAGTTTTACATATTGCTATATTAATAAGTCATTGCTGAGACTCACTAGCCAGAGGCTAATGTTTAAGTAAACAACACACTCACTACCACTACATTGAATGTTATACTTAGAGTACAACTCTAAACTCACATGGACAGGAGGGGACACTAGAGAAAAACGTTTGCTATGCTTGCATTTCAGCATGTTTTCTAAGAATTTTGAAGAGTCTGAGTGAAAAAACAAATGTTGTTTTCTCCTAGTATACAAAACATTTCTTTTGTATACTTTTGTAAGACCAAGATACTTTATTAACAAAAACTATATGAAAGAATTAGCTTTAAGTTTAAGCATGGACACTAAGTTTCGGCACTTTGTGAAGTCCAATTTATCAGGCATGTTTGAAAGTGAAATTTACAAATGTTTTGACTATTTTACATACAGATTCAGAGCATGCACAGACGTTTTTCACTCATGTCCATGGAGGGAGGAAAACCGAAAAAGAATAGAGAACCCAGAAAACACTTTAGTTACAATTACTGCACTTGCTGTTATTCATCATGGCTGTCATTATAGTGTGTTGTCATGCAAAGCCTTTATATTTATTTATTAAGTAAATAGTTCCAATATATTTTATTGTTGTTTTTGTTACAGGGCAACTACAAAATGGAGCAGTCGATGTTGACCCATAAACCAGAGAATGAGAGGCAGCTTCTGTATGAAGTCTGGGCTTCTCCAAAGAGATGGTACCAAATGCAACCACTAGATCAGATAAGGTGAGACCAAAACCAAACAACCAAGAACTGGAATTCTAATTTCGATATTAAGTATATGAAAATTGAAGCAAAAAATTAAAGCATAGCAGAAAATTTCATTGTTCCACTTACTAGTAATGTATCAACATGAATGTTTCATCTGATTTCCAAACACCAAGAAGTGAGTTGAAAAAACAGGGCGGAGCCAAGTTTTTTTAAACAAATTTTGAGGTTGAAGAGTTTCTTCATTGGTTGGAATCATGACTTTACTACTTTTTTGTTTCATCCACATATTTTTTTGAGGTGTTTGGATAAAAGATGAAACACTCTTTCATGTGCTTGATATGACTTCTCAAACTATTAATGATTCTTGGAGAAATTCAAAGCATAAGTTGCCCAAATTTTATTCTAATGACATTTCCAAACATCCGTCACACTAGTGATTTTTTTTTCTTTTTTCTTTTTTTTTTTTTGTCCTCATGAATTATTAATTATTAATGAGTTTGAGAAGGGCTTCATAATTTTAATATCCTAAAATCCACAGTAATTACTTTGGCGAGAAGATTGGTCTGTACTTTGCATGGCTAGGATTCTATACTGGTATGCTTGTACCTGCAGCCTTGGTTGGTTTAGTAGTCTTGATATATGGAGGAGCAAACCTGGCCAGCTATACTCCTGCGTAAGTGAGATAACATTTCTTTTTATTCATGTATTAGTGACATTGCGGTGCGTGCTCTGATTGGTTTAAAACTGTGCTCCATCTGAGAATGGAACACGGCATTGATATCATCTACGCATGCAATGAAGTGCAAGAAAAATTAGCCAGCTTTGATAGCAATTATTCATCATGTTCCATTCAATGTTTTATAGTATAGACATCTGCAATGAAACTAAAAAGTTGGACTATCCCATGTGTCCACGTTGTGACCAAAAGTGTCCTTACTGGGCTCTGTATGATACGTGTGTCTACTCAAAGGTGAGATGTTAGAGCAGTTTTCGTGTGACTGTGAAAAGCGCATGACAAGAACACGATCATGACATGAAAAGGCATGCGCAAGACCAATCACATTTCACCAGAATTTACTCTCCATCCAATCAAATACCTGGAACACGGCAAGAACACGACGAAGACGCGGCCAAGCCAAGGTCACGTCACTGCCAGACCTATAACATTGCACGGAAGAGAAAAAAACAGCCAATTAAAATTCTAGAAAACATCACGGTCACGGCACGACACAGTTACGGCTCTGTGCTTTTCACAGTCATACAGAAATTGCTCTACCACAGACAGTTTTTATTGCTACACGCTGATTGACACAAACTCTTGCAACAGGTTAATGGGCAATAGACAATCTTTTTTTTTTTAGATTATAGTCAATAGACTATCGTCTATGGACCCCTTGCATTGATTTTTGAGAGGAATTGTTCTGGAGAACAAAACAATAGGCCATCTTCTTCTGCAAAAAAATCCATTGTTTTTTCCCCCCAAAACAATTTCTCTCAGGCCTCAGTGCAAGGGGTCTATCAAATAAATCGTTGGAGTACATAAAGGTATATGGGAACTGTGGGAAGGCACATGGGAAGCATTTGTTTGGTCTATTGCTCTATCTTATAACCTGTCACAACTGTTATCTTCATCGACGCCAGCCATGGAAACATTGGTAAAATATAAATTTTACATAAGAACATGTGTAATAAGTAAATTACGAGCCTTAGATGAAACGACTGAAGAAGAGTGCCATACAAGCCTTTCACAACTTCAAGTCGCGTAAAAAATGAGCCAGCTCAACTAGAAACTGTGGACAGCTGTTTCGGCCTGTATTGGGCCTCGTCAGCACAGTGTATCTAGTGAGCTGGCAATCCCACAATCGTGGGATTGCCAGCTCATTAGATACACTGTGCTGACGAGGCCCAATACAGGCCGAAACAGCTGTCCACAGTTTCTAGTTGAGCTGGCTCATTTTTTACGCGACTTGAAGTTGTGAAAGGCTTGTATGGCACTCTTCTTCAGTCGTTTCATCTAAGGCTCGTAATTTACTTATTACACATGTTCTTATTTGATATCCGAGCCCATCCCACACGGCGCACTGCCACATCTATATAAATTTTACAATAACTTACAAATTTCTCGCACACTGATTGGTTATTTTTTATCATCAATAAGAGGACAGACAGATAAAGCTGACGTCGACGAGCACGCGCTCTTTCCGTTGGTTGTTTTGATCACTAAAGATGAAAAGTTTTTATCGTGTCTGTCCTCTTATTGACAATAAATTTCGTCATCACATTGTCAAAGTAGTATAAGACAGACACATAAAAACTGATGTCTATTGTTAAAGAATGATACCTGTTCTGAAATGAAAAATTTTTTTAGCTTATGTTGTTGATTAAGCCTGTTAATCCAGAATGTAGGTACTGACGTATTTGTTCATTCGTTTTGTTTCAGGTGACCTATGTATTTGACAATGAGTTCACACCCATTTTTGCCATCTTCATGTCTATTTGGGGTGAGTACAGTTGATTAAGGGACATGGTACCCACCAACTCTGGAAAAAAACCCGGAAATTCAGATTGGAAAGCAAATGGTATGTGTCATTCCAATCGGAAAGTTCCGCAAAACTCGGTCTTCTGATTGAGGTAATCCACTTTTCCCGCTCTTTTCGGTTCTTTCGAAAACGCGTGTACCATTTGTTGGAAGTTAAAATTTCCCGCTCTTAGTCTTAGCAAACAAATTTCCAACTGGGTCAATTGGTTTAAATGGTAAGCAATCGAGGTAAAAGCTTTCAAGCTCGCCAATCAATAGCTGAATGTTGTGGGTCATTTTTATGATGCTTTTGACTTTGATTTCAAATAGCCACTATGTTCCTTGAGTTCTGGAAAAGACGACAAGCTGAAATCAGCTATGAGTGGGATTTGATGAACTTTGAGGATGAAGAAGTAAGTGAAAGAGTTATGATATAGGATAGAATTGGGATGGGAATGGAATGAGAATGGATGGTTGGGATGGAATGGAATGGGACATTAAGACACTTGGGATGGGAATGAAATTGGATGGATGGGAGGTTAAAGAGTAGAGTCGCGCAATTCAGGATAGTACTGTATGGTATTGGAATGAGAATGGATGGATAGGATAGGATGGAATGTTAAACACTAGAGGGACAATTTGGGATGGGAATGGGATAACAAATGGAGATGTCAAGCACTAGAGTGACAAGATTTAGGATAGGAATAGGATAGGAATTAGATGGGATTTGATAGTTGGAATGGGATTAGATAGAATGTCAGTGACAAGATTTAGGATAGAAATAGGATAGGAATCAGATGGGATTTGATAGTT